TCGGCTTGAATCGACAGCCTTGTATTTTGAGATCATTATTCCATGTCTTTCACTCAAGAATTATATTGTACTAAACAAACCTTGACCAGCGTCTCTGTGAGATCTGTTCAGGTATTTGAAGTGTGCTATCATATCTTTCCTCCACTCCCATAAGCCCTTCAAGAAGAGAAGATCAGGAAACAGACATCACACAAACTAATGTAACTCTACTTTCTTGTTATAGGGAATAATAAACAGACTCTTGAAGGCCTCTTAAGAGGTTCCTGTTCCCCCCTCTTATACTGAAGTCAATCAAGGTGGGGCAATCTTCAGTTTCTCCTCCTCCTCCTATCTATCTGGGCTTAGTGGATGCTTGAATTTCTTCAAGGCCACATCTCTGTTCCTCTACAACATGATATTTTTCATCAAGGCTAAACATTCCTAGTTTTCTCATTTTAAGTAAAAATTAAACAGACATATCATTTTGAAGAACTAACTATGTATATGTATCAATAGCCTTGTCCAGCTGATACCTTTCTTTATTGACCACAACATGACAGTGGTGAGCAGACCTTTTCTGAGCTAAACATCCCTCTAAGTTGGATGTCACTGAGCTAATGAGACCACTGAGAAGCTGGTTCTGCATGAATACAGCATGACTGTAGCAGAGATTTTATATAGATCCAGGGCAATATGAAAACCACTGCATGGTTGCAAAGTCTCCACAATGTAGATAATCACACTATATCCATAGATGGCTTCCTGCTTACTACAGTTGTCAGCCCTATAGATAAACCAAATCAAGAAATCAGTTCCATAGGAAGACTAAAACTACTTTTATTGAGATTGGTTAGGATAGCAGAATCTTGTAAGTTTAATTTATGCTGTACCTCCCTCCCTTTCTTATACTCCTGTAAATTAGGGAACAGTTTGTCTGAGTAGCTTATAATTACTACTATGTTCCTGTTGTGGACAAGGTATTTTTTTTTTAGACCACATTGCTTTGGTAACTGAGCTTGCCTCTCTGTCAAGGTCATTGTCCTTACTCTCTGCAACTGTTGTCTCAATACAATTTGAGGATTTTAGAGATGGGTCTTATCTATTCAGTTTTATATGCAAGCCTGTAATAGGGGGCTTGGTTCCTCATCCAGTTGTAATGGCATGGTTCTTATTGTAGTGAGAGGTGATGACAGAGCATTGGTCTTCAGAAAACTGCAGTAAAACTCCAGATCCGATACTCAGAAACTTGATATCCTTCATTTTAGGGAATAGAACTTTAAATTAAAAGAACTATCTATCCAACAGAGAAATTCATCGCCTGTGTAAATTTGAAAAAGGTCAAAATAATCTTTCATTTTCACAAAGTAAAGACTTATTCTTGAAGCTGTCTTAATATTAGCATTTATGAGGCAGTCAGTCCTTCAGGGCATTTCTTATGAAGTACTGGCAAATTCACCCAGCAGGGAGGATAAATTGTTCATAGTTAAATGGATATTTGGCAGTTTTAGATTAAGTAAATTATCTGGATCTGGAAGGAGTTTATTTCACTTCCACTGCACCAAATTCAGGGGATGGTTGGAAGGTAGATGAGGAAGAAATTTGATGGGAACAGAATGGGGTGTGATCAAGTAAAGGTTGGGCTCTAAGCAAGAATGGCAGTTCATCATCATCATCATCCCCATCACCATCATGGCATATATCCTGCTCCTATATCCTATTTAGCTCAAAGAAGAGGTCTTCTCAGAACAAGGGCTGTATGTAGGCATGCTAGATACAAATACAATTTGCAGCAAGAAAAGCAGCAAAGATTAAACAAGTCCCATTCCTGATAAAATTGGCTAAGATTCTGAACTAAAGTGTAAGAGCCATGGTGGTGCAGTGGTTAGAATGCACTATTGCAGGCTAATTCTGCCCACTGCCAAGAGTTCAATCCTGACCGGCTCAAGGCTGATTCAGCCTGCCATCCTTCCAAGGTCGGTAAAATGAGGACCCAGATTGTTGGGGGGACAATAGGCTGACTCTGTAAAGGACTATGAAGCAGTATGAAGCAGTATGTAAGTCTAAGTGCTATTGCTATTGCTAGTTTATTTAATGTTATTTAAAAGCTATTGCTATTGCTAGTTTATTTAACATTGAATAAATTGTAAATGGCTAGCTTTGCACCTCACAGTAAGCTAGTCATCTTCAACAAAGTAAAGTGGTTTGGTTCACACACAGCATGAAATCATAATGGTTGATGCAACATGCCATGACTTAACATGCATAAAACGAGACATAAGACAGTTTCCAAATACACCAAAATGGCCCTGTAGACTTCATGAAAAACAAATTCAAACAGTACTTTGTCAACAAATAAAACAATCTCAGATTTAGGAGAAATAAAACTGCAACTGAATCAAACTGACTTTCGAAGTTCAAACATATTTACACAACCTGTTTGTGCTTCATACAAACTATAAAATACAAGGTACTTACACATATACAGACTTTCTATTGCATTAGAATTGTCAAGGGCTGGTTTTCAGCACAGAATCTCTCTTAGGGAGATGCAGCTTCCCCTAATTATGGGGACTTCATCATCATGATTAATTTTGCTTGCATTTATTTCCCCTCATCTTCCCAGGATTCCCCTCTACACACAAACACTTTGGCACCCTATCTTTTCAGCCTTAAGCAGGTTTTAAATATAGGGGATGTATTTGTTATGCCCAGGTCCTCTACCCATTCTCTTTATTGACTTTATGCTTGAATGATTTACATTAACTTTTTAAGTTTTGACACCAAGAATGTAACTGTATCAATGTAACTCTGAAGATGGAGGGGAAAATAGATACAACAAATGATTTTGCAATTTAAGGAAGGCATCAGGAGATCACTATATGTTGGATCAAGTTGTTTGCTTTCTAGCTCATTGTTGTTTCAGTTTTAATACATTGGTTCTTCAAAGGTCATTCCAATCATCTGTTGCTCAGCCTTTCTGTAGCTCAGAAATAGCAAGGGATTGTGAATTTCTGCATACAGACCTGGTCTATCTATGAACTACAGTCCCACCCTCTAAATATGAGATGCTTTATCAGCTTATGTTCCAATAATTTTGGCAGTCAAATCAAGAGGAAAGCTGCATTAATGGGAAAGTTTATTGGCATAATGTTTTCACTCTTAAGTGATCACTCAGGAAGGAAGTTGCTAATCTGGAATGTATAATGAGTTCCACTTTGTAGCTGGAATGCCTTTACAAATTTCTCAGATTCTTTTCCTTCCCTGGGTTCCTCTTTGCTGTAATTTGGGTGAAAGAAGAAGGGTCTTCCCTTAAAGATTTGGAGTGTGAAAAGGGGTTCCTCAATTTTATCCTACATCTTTGGTATTACTGAGAAAGCTCTAAACAGTTTTAGATCATCTGAAGAAAGGCATCGTATGTTTACCTACACAAATTCAGAGATATTGAGATCTTTCCAAGCACCCTAGGAAAATGAATAAATGGGGAACAAAGAGCCTCTTCAGCATTAGCACCCAAAATTCTGAATGTCTCCCCAAAAGCAACACATTTGTCTTATTGGCTGATGTGGGTTTCATGGCAATTTTCATCAGTTGATTTGTTGTAATGAATGTTATTCCTTTTATCTATACAATGATGCTGTTTTATTGCTTTATAGTTTTAGCTGCCCAAGGATCAGAGGACATTTAGTGGGCAGTTTAGAAATCGAGGCATAAAGTAAAAGATTATCACTACATTTTGGTTCCTTACACATGAAATAAATATGTGTTTTTCTTTTACTCATCTGCTGGATTGCAACTGCTTAAATAATGGTGCTAATGATTCAACTACTCATGTGGCATGCCTTCCATTTCCATGCTGTCATTGATCCTGGCTCTGGCATTCATCTGAATCTGAATAATATCAAAGATCTATATAGTCCAGCATCTTTTATCCTAAATGGCTGATCTCAGATTCCTCCAAGAAACACAAGATTGTTCTCCCATTGTTGTTCCTCTCTGCCCCTCCCCCAAAAGTAGCATATATTTCCAATATGCTTAATGACAAGTAATAGATAAATGCAAGAAGGAGAAAGTTAATTCCTTCCATTTTGAGGAGGCCTGGAAGTGATATACAGAATACAAGCTACTCCTGTGATCTTGTATGATTTAAACATCTGATGAAGTTTAAAACAAACCAGAAGGATAGCAATCCCTTACACATATCTGAAGTGGGAAAAGAAAGGACAGATGGCAATTTTGTCAAATTGATATTACAAGTGTTTCTATTTTAGATGTTCCCCTAATGTTGAAAATAAGCAAGCAAAACAAGTGTGAGATGTTTTCCTCTTATATCATTTTTAACACATGCACCACACGCAGAGACAAACAAGTTCTTAGCAAAATGGGATGAAAAAAAATAATAATCGAAGAATGATCCCAATTAGCAGAAGTTTTTAACAAAGCCCTCCCCAAGGAGGAGCGTTTCTTTTCCAAGTCAAATTTGGCTGGGTGCTATCACCTATTCGTGTTACTGATTCTGCATTATAGTCTGTTAAACACCTTAAACACTCTACAGATAATATCTATGCCGATTGGGGGGGGGGGGGAAAGGACGCTGTTCTTTTAGTCATTTCTGTAACTGCAGCCTGTTCTTGCAGGTGCTTCATTTTGACTTGCCAGGATTTGGTGTTTTTATTCTTAGCTAATCCTGAGTGTTAAATTAGCACATACTTCAGTGCCATTAAATTGTGCTTGTTTTTGTTCCTTCCACCAGGTGAGCAAACAACCGGGCAGGCGAAGAAATAAGTTTATAATGTAAATAACTTTTCTTATTAAAGAGAGAGAGAGAGAAAAGGCGACGGGCGAACTTTTGATCTACAGCAGAAATCGTTTGATCAACAATAGAAATCCTGCAAAGAAATTCTCCAGCCAGACTCCCAAAAGAGAGAGCGAGAGAGAGAGAGGACGCTGACGTCACGCCGAACGGGCAAAGGCGATTGGTGTAGACGCGGCTCCTCTAAACCAATCCGTAGTCAGACCCGCGACGGAAGGCGCGCTCGCGCTTCCTCTGCCTCGCCGCGAGGCTTCGGGTTGCCCCGAGCGACCGCCAATCCGATCCCAGAGCGAGGAAGCAAGACAAACGCTTATTGGTTCTCTCGGGAGATAGCTCGTTCGAAGCGTTCCCGGGATTGGCTAAGCATTGCAGGTTTTCGGAGGGCAAGGAGTTTAGGGGGTAGGTTTGTTGTGGGGGGGGCGACGGAAAGGGGCTTCGCTTGTTTATTTTTACTGTTGTTGTTTCTGTCTCCTGGCTGGATCTTTAGTTTGTTTTTTTTAAAAAAAAAAAAACAGGCAGGAATTCCACCGGGGAAGCTTTGGCCGTGATGGTCTCTGCCTGCTAGATTTATAGTCATGATTGCTTTTCATCCTGTTTGTGCCCTGGGGGCCCCTTTGGCTGGTCCGGGTGAAGGGAAGAGAGGGAAATTTGAAGTATTTCCCCCTTGAGGGCCTTGATTAAGAGCAGGGAGAGGCACTGGTTTAAAACATACAAGAGTTGGATACACCAGATCAGCCAGCTGCCTTTGAAGGGCACCGTGTTGTGTGAATCCAGCCCTGGTTTAGTCTTATGTTGTCCTGTGTATTGTGCAGATTCAGAGGATTCGTTTGGGAATCCTGTAAAATGAGAATACAGCCATCAGGCTGTTTTTTTTCCTGGGGATTAACAGAGCCAGGCTGCAAAAATCCACAGACTCTGGGCTGCCATCTAAGGATGATCGGATTTTTGCAACCTGCAGTCTCCATTTAACAACCATTCATTTAGTGACTGTTTTAAAGTGAAGTAGCTCTGACTGTTTTTCACACACAGGACTGTTGCAGCATCCCCAGGGTCACCTGATCAAAATTCAGATGGTTGGCAACTGACTTGTATTGATGGCCATTGTTGTGTCTTGAGGGTCATGTGATCATCTTTTTTTTAAACTTCTGACAAGCAAAGCTTCACTTAACGGCGTTAGTAACTTGACTACTGCGGTGATTCACTTAACAATTGTGGCAAGAAAGGTCATAAAATGGGGCAAAACTCACTTAACAACTCTATTGCTCTAGCATAATGATGGTTAACCTTTTAGAGACCGAGTGCCCAAACTGCAACCCAAAACCCACTTATTTATCGCTGGGTGCCAGGTGGGCGTGGCCCACTGGGTGGGCGTGGCTGTGGTAGTCATGGCAGATTGGGTGGGTGTGGCCAAGGTGGGTGTGATCATCTCAATGTTGCTCGTGGGGAGGGACGCCTGTGGGGGCCAGGCTGGGTTGGGAGAGATCCAGGGGGTCTGTGGCAGGTGGGGCGGTGGGCAGGAGGCTTGTCCTGCGGGGTGAGGCGAGGCAAGGTGAGGCAGGGTGGGGGTGCCATTGTCACAGGGCAAGGTGAGGCAGGGGCCGGGGTGGGTATTGACTGACACCATCGCCCCCCACACACAGAGGCCAGCGAGCGCATGGGTGCTGGGATGCATCCGGCCATGTGGGACCTCGGCGAGTTAGCGGGCGGCTGGTTGAAGAGGGACGGTTGCCATCTCCGGGGCATAGCGAGCCACAGAGAGGGCTCTGAGTGCCGCTTCTGGCATGCGTGCCATAGGTTCGCCACCACTGCTCTAGCAACAGAAATTTGGGGTCAATTGTGGTCGTAAGCTGAGAGCCTCCTCTACGTCTTCCTTTATTTGCAACCTTTCAACCATGATGTTATGACCTGGTTTTGATTGACCTGTTTCACAGGCTAAGAGAATTTTATGCAGGCACGTGAACCATCTATGCTACCAGTGCTTCCTGGAGGAAGAGGACTAGTAGCACAGCACCTAAGTAAATGAAGCAACGAAGAAGAGTGGCATCTACTGGTTTATTTCCCTCCAAGGTTGCCCTGCAGCTCGGAAAGCAGGGGGTGTTGATGCAGAGGGAAAAAGAAGTGACAGTTTAAATACATTAAATAAAAATAACCGTGGTCTGTGAAGCTTCCTTTATCTTTTCTTGACCTTTCAGAGGAAAGGATGACCGGTACAATACTTGGAGTTGGGCCTGGAGTATTCATCTTGGCAGTGGTCTGGATTTTGACTTTACTGCTGTGCGTGTTGCTGTCTAGAGCTTCTGGACTTGCTAGGTAAGATCCCTATTACTGGCAAAACAAATGAAGGGGAAACTGCTCCTCATATGAATTTCAGGCAAAGCTTAAGAAGGCAGGAGATTTTTGTGCAAATGCTGGAGATTCTTAACCTGAATTGTCCTCACATTAAACACAAAGGAGATGTTAGCAAAGGGAGACTTTTCATGATGGTGAATGCTGGTAACCTAAGCAGCAATGACGTGGTTTTTTTTTAAATTATTATATCATTAGCTCGGTAAGTTTCCTAATGTTGATCCCTGTTTATGTTTACCTGTCAGGACGGTAGTTCTTAGATACGCAGAAAGTGATCTAGAAAGTGATCTAGTCTCCAGCATTTCCTTCCCAGCATTTCTTCTGCTCATTCACCAGGTTCCGTTTCTTTCCACTGCTGAGCATATTTCTGTGTTCTTGAGTTGGCTGTAGCAAAACGCTGGGGTGAACAACTGCCTGGCCCTAACAATGAGATTTTACGTAGCCTGCCTCAGTGCAATTGCTGGTTTCTGGCCCAGTGGAATGGTCCCGCTTGATCATGTTAGCTATTGACTTGCTGACCTGGGTACAAAGGTGATTCAATCCTTTCAACAGAATCATTTCTCTCATTGGGCTCCTGCTGTTTCTCATTAATGCTCCTGTTGTCCTCTCTGAATTTTCTTAATCGTATCTGGCATTGTTTCTTTGTGTTAGTGTCACATGTAAAGCTTTATTTGAAGTAGGAAAGCTTTTATACAATTTCAAACCTCTTCGCTCTGTGCTGTAGCTATATAGCTATCTCCACTTGCTATTTTTTCCCTCTCATTCTGACTTCCTAGTCAACTGTTCTCTGAATAACTGGAGAGGCTATTCCAATGAGAGTATAGAGCCTGTAATAAGCAGTTGTTCAATTATAGGTCAATTTTTCTCAAGTGAATGGAGCATTCTGACATTGCTTATGCATATTTAGCATTTCAGTTACAGAGTCAAACTAGAGCTGCTTATGGTTGCTGTAAGTATTTCATAGTATACAAGGTTAGGAAGTAGTTGAATTAACTACTTCTTGTAATGCTGAAAGTGACTATTAAATTTTAAAGAACCACAGTGTTCCTTTTTTTAAACCAGAAGATTAATGTATATCACTTTAATATTATTTGGATGAAAGCATAAGCAATTTTTGGGAAAAAAAAGACTTTGTTCTCAAAAAATAATGTGATTTTGCAGGGGAGATTATTGTTAAAAGGCACTCTGAAAAGTTGCATGAAATGAAAATTGACAGATACGTTGTTACTTAATATAAGACATGCAAATTCTGGCTGAGGAATTCTAGGAGTTGAAGTCCACAAGTCACAAAAGGGCCAAGTCTGAAGACCCCTGATCTAATGTCTGGCTGATGAGCAAGAACTAATCTAGGTTATATACCAAGTAAATCAGGGGTGTCAAACTGCCGGCCCGTGGGCCGGACGCGTCATACAGAAGCTGCGCCCACCCCATTGCCGGCAATGGCAAAACTGTCCCGATACGTTGCACGACGTGACGTTGCGTGTTTGACATGTCTGAAGTAAATGATGCTGCCATTCAAATATGCTGATTTCTGCATTAACTTTCTATTTCTCTAGGTTTTCCGTCATCCTGGTTTTCTTTGCTGCTGTGATCATCACTGTAACCCTGTTGCTTTTTCCTCGTGCCAGCAAGTTTCCCGCGCCAGTTACGGAAATCAAGGTAAAAGTATCTGAAAATCAATGTGTTCTGTCTCAGCTGTTGAAACCAAGACCAACACAGTCTTTGAGCTGATTGAGCACATGGGCTAAGTATAGTCTCAGTGAAATACATCACCTCAAGCAGAGAGTTAATTGCCTGTTTCTCAACCACTGTTGGAACAAGAGAAGCATTGCTGGAGGTTATGACAGTGAGAACCAGAGTTAAAATGCTAATACTGCCCCCAAGTTATTAAAAGCACTGGGCTGGGCTTGGCAGTTGGGTATCAAAGACTAAGAGTGGGTGGATACTTTGGGTTCAGGTTGAATTTATGGCAGGCTAAGAGCTCAAGGATAGGATTCTATTTTGGAGCAAGTATCTGGCAGTAAAGAAAGTAATGAGCTGTTTGAGCAAAATCAAAAGTACTTGAAAGTCGCTTCTTTTGTTTGCCTGAAAATCTAGAAGTCTGATCAGACGTTAAAAGTGAAGATGGTTTATCTAGCTTAACAAAGATTTAAGCCATCCGGTTTACTTGTCTGAACTGCCAAGGGAATTTTGTGTTTGAGAAACTTCTGCTGTTTCTTACCTAAAGAAATAAAAAAGGCAACAAGAGGCATCTTTGGAACAGGAAAATGAAATTCAGCTCTGAAACTCTGAAATGGCTCTTTATTCCCCAGACATGAAAAAAAAATCAGCTATATAAACTGAAGTATTTAAGCTGGAAAAAGAAAGGTTAGAAGGAGTGCTTGCTTCACCCTGTTAGGAGAGAGGGAATGCTTTTACACTGAGGTTGTTTGCAAAGGGAATGTGCTTCCATGTTGGGCTATTCATAGATTCCCCCCCCCCCATTAGACACAGAGAGTGCCTCACTTTCCTAGAAGTTTGTTGCATCTTAAAAGAAACTTCAGTTATAACTGCTTGTTAAACTTTTGGAGAAACTTGTCTTGTTTATGCGTCAGCTCTTTTCTTGTTTTGATGAAAAGATTCTTCAACAGGGCCACACAATTGTATTTGCATTCTGAAGTTTTGATTTGGATTCATATAATGTCTTGCTTCCTGTCTCCTGACATTCTTTTCTGCCTACCTATGAATCTGGTGTGGATCAGTCTAATAACACCTAACCCTGTAGCTTTTTGTTAATTTGGACTTCCACACATATTTGATATGAGAAATAGGGATAACTAAATGCACTCCTGATGTGAATCATCAACACTTCTGTTATATTCATTTAAAATGCTGATTTTTTTCCAGTGTCCTGTTTAGTCCTATACAGTGGTATATATTATCATCAGTCATGGTTTGCTTAAGAACTCTGTTTTCAGGCTTTGCACATTGTTCCAAACATAAAAAACTGCTCTATAAATGAAAATAGCTGGGTTTACACACCATGCCAGGCCGTGTTTCTTCCCTGTGTATAATTTGTTGTCCTGTTAGCTTTTCATGCAACTATTTTATTTCACTTTAACTGTTTTCAAAGGAAGTCATAATTAACTCCAAACACCATTTTCTCCAGTTTCTTGTTAATTAAGTGACCCTAAGGCATATGAAAGGATATGAAAACAATGACTTTGTGTTATCTTTACTTACTAATAGCTGGCACTCAGTTGAATATTGTCTCTGATTATAAAATTTTCATTAGCCATTTAGCCATTACGGCTGCTGTTTATTATTAGGGTCAGCCAATATAGGTTTGCTTTAATTTCTTTGAAGCCAGTGGTCTTTGCTATAATTTGCAGCAAGTTCTGCTAGTATTGTATTCATCCAATATTATGAAAATTGCCCTTAATGAATTCTTTTTTTTTCATAGCTCAAGCCAGCACTATTCCTTTTATGGGACTCTCCTATACCTGTCTCTTAAGCTAATGATTTGCCTGTCACAGTCTCAGATAACTAATCGTACAATTAAACAGGGAAATTGATGCTGTATTATAGTTTTTATATAAAAAAAAATCTTCCACACTGAAAAGAAATTTTTAACTGCCTGAGCTTCTGTTTTTTTTTTTTAAATACACTATTTTTTGATCTAGACATAAGACCTACTATCTTTTGCAAAAAAAAAAAAATGTTCCCTAATTAGTGGGCAGTAAAGATGTGAACTTTGAGCCCTGACAATGTTACCTAGTCAGATAATGAAACATCCGCAAGTAAACCACCAAACTGGGAGAGCATCAAGGATTTCAGGTGAACCTTGATTGTGATGAACGCAACTTGTCTTCTTTAATCTCAGGAGTTGCTTTTTTATTTCTCTAGGTGCAGATCCTCGGCTGGGGCTTTTACCTTATTAGAGTGCACCCTCCCCATCTTTTCTTTAGTATGGTGTATAGTTCTACCCTTTCCCAGTAAATCACACTTTTACTAATGCAGCTGATGCTTCCAGCAAATTTCACCAATAATCAAATGTTCCTCCTCTAGGCTTTTACCTGCTGCTAGATTAACCCTCCAAAGCAGTCTGAATTTTTATTAAGAGCTGTGTGTGTCTGTCTGTCTCTCTCTCAGATCAACTTCAGAGGCAATTGATTCCTCCTTCCCAGAGATTTCCCAGACCTAATTCTTTAAATTCTATACTCCTTCTGAAGGTCTTCTGTCCTTCTCCTTGATGATGAGAGCTGTGCTTCCTGCAGGGCTCCTTCCTGGTCACATCCCTGCACAGTTCTGCCATCAGCCCACTTGAACAACACAGAGGGTTGTCTTAGCTAGAGTTTCCTTCTGAAGGACTTTTTTTTTATCCAGCAGTTCAATTTAAGGCACAGCCAGTGCTGCCCTTCTCCACAAGGGAGGTCAGTGCCATGTCCGAAGGAAAAACATCTGTAAAAGTTCCATGTATCTGTTTGGTTTTGTTTAGATTGTTCCATGTTTGGATTGTTCCATGTTTCCCAAGTCTAATTCAGTGTAGCGGTAGCAAACAATAAACACCCATCAAGTCTTGCAGATTTTTTTTATTTATTGGGGACAGGGCAATCCTTATTGAGTGTTAGATCAAGTCCAAGATGCAAGTGGAACCCCTGCTTTGGCTAGAAAACAAGAATAAACGTACCCTTCATTCTTCTCCTTGGTTTTCAGAACCAGGAATAGCAATGGAAAGCGGGCATCAGAATATGGGGCACATGTTAGCCACAGAATATGTAGCACAATAATATCAAGTGAGCCTCCCCAAAGAGGTGATTGTGGAAGTGAAATGCCACAAATGAAACAGCCCTGCTCTCAGTCACCAACCAACTCATCTCAGTTGTCAAGAAAACACGCAGGGCTGCTTTAGCACCTGCCAGGACTGATACAAAACGTAGCGTTCTTTCAGTTTAATGACATCGAATGCTGAAGAGATTGTCGGCCACAATTGTGACTTATGGTGTTATGTTTTCAGATTGTAGACACCTTCTTCATTGGCCGTTTCGTCCTGCTCCTCAGTTTGTGCCTGGTTTTCCTGGGATGCCTGTTTTTGCTTCTGACTCACCATCTTCTGCAACCTGTGTATGCCAAACCGTTGAGATCCAGCACTTAGACTAATCGGCTTCGAATCCTTGATGATACTTTGGCCCATTTCCCATTCCTGTGACTGAAGACCCAAGATTCAGTTCCGTGAATCGGAATGTATCGCTCACAAATTCAGAATTTTGTATTAAGATGACATCTTGAGTTTCCTTCAAGATAGGAGAAGTTTCAGATACAGTCGAATGAGTACAACCAAATGTATTGTGAATTCTAAGTTTGTTTCCCCCCCCCTTTGTTTTATAACTTCAGTTAATTGAAAATGTGTTTGTACAGAGATGCGTTTGTATAACAGTCCAGAAAATGCTGATTGAATCTCATAAAGCATGTGTTGCAGTATTGGTAACCGCCCGTTTGCCAGAGCAGTATATTAAACAAATATAAACGCATTCACATGAAATGATTGAATGTCAATCTGGTTTGCAACCAGATTGTTTTCCTCCAGGCTGTGTATGGTGAAACTTCGCTTGTGAATTTCTTTTTAGTAGTTTCTGTATTTATTGGATTTAACTTAATGGATCCCCTAGGGCTTATTTATTATCAACTCTGCTTGGGTAATACAGGTGAGAGATGCTAATGAGTCCCTCTGAGAAGTCTCTTGGCCAAATTGTTCCAGGAGGACAAAATTGAAACAGATCATTTTTCTTCACCAACAGATGATCAGTGTTGCTAAATCATTGTTGAGCAACCCATATCATATCTTTGTTCCGATGGTTACATCTCCCGGATTTGTTTGGCAGGGGCATTGTTCAGCTCTGTGCCTGCCCTGATACACAAGAAGAAAATGGTGCCTTAACAGTAACTTGCTTGGATGCAGTTTGATGTCCTCTATTGCAGTGTGTCTCACCCTTGGCAGCTTTAAGATGTGTGGATTTCAGTTCAGAGCTGCCTGCGGAACTCTGGGAGTTGAATTCTATGCATCTTAAAACTTTCTCACATTGAGAAACCCTGCTCTGTTGGATTCTGGATTTCACATATTGTTGCATTGTTAGTATGTCTTGCATGAATGCATTTCTAAAATTCCATTTGTGTTAACTGCAATTATTCTCCATGAAGGAGATGTCCAGGACTTGATGCAGTCTAATGTCATCCATATGTGTTGGACCAATTCTCATAATCCCTAACCAGCGTAAGCCATCTGGTATTAAATATGTAAACTGATTGAAATCAGTGAGCTGAGGCGTAACTGTTACCTTACATATTAAATTAATATGCTGCCCTCCCACTAAAAATAATACTCAAAAGTTAGCTAACATTAAAATGGGCAAAACAGTTGCGTAATAAAAACATACAAGTCCATTAGCAAGGGGGAAAATACCCAGTGTTCATCAGACTACAACCCACGTCACATAATTTTAGAGTCCTTATCATCAGCATAAGGTCTCTAGATCTGCTCCACTATAGAATGCAGAACCAAATCTAGCAAATTCTATATTATCATTTGACTTTTTAAAATGTTATTATGGATGCTTAGTTGGTTTTGTTGGTTATTACTTATCATGAATGTTTTAACTGTTGATTTACGTTTATGATTATACATCACCAGGAGTCATTGAGACATTAGATGGTACACAAAGTGGAATGAAATTAAATAATGTTTGCATCATGAATCTGCAAAATTGTAGAATTACATCAGCCTTAATGGCGGCTCAGTATTTATAATAGTGTCTCTGTAGGTTTGTTATCATTGTATGCCATTGTGCATGACATTTTTGCTGTATGTCCTTTTAAGGATATTACAGACACAGATTAGATCACTTTCTCAATATCCTACTTACCTCTTTAGGGTCTGTGCCTTTGCTTTGATCCTCTTGTTTGGTCAGCCTCCTCAGGCAATTCCAGTGTCCATTTTGGTGGCATTAATCACAGAAGGGTTTTAACATGGCGTAAAGCGAATAAATTCGAAATGGAGACTTCTTCCTTCCTTTCCTTAATGAAAGAGGTATGGGAGATGGTCAAGGGCTCTTTCTAACAAGATTGTAGATAGGATTTCCTAACTTCATTAGAAATTTGCCTTGGGAGTGAATAATAATAATAATAAAAACCTGAAAGGATAATTTTAAAACAGCTGAACCTTCTTTTTAACAAGAGAAATAAGTGAGAAAGTAATTGGCCAACGAAGGAATACTTAAAACCCCAGCAGGAATAGCTTCCTGAAATAGATTAGTGGTGCTTCTATAACACATATTAATTGGCATCAGATGACTTGGAAAGCCATAAAAACCCAGAGGTGTCAAGGCATTACAAATTTTGGAGATCATGATTTCATTTTTAACAATATTTTTACAGACCAAAATGGGCAGTGGTCTTAGTATAAAACCACTTTCATTTCTACAGAATGAAGTTTTTAAAACTAGCTGTTTTGACGTTCCAAGAAGCTTTAAGGTTGCATCTTTACTTTCAGATTTATTTTTCTGCTTTTCCCATATAAGGATGATCTCTTTGCATGCTCTATTGGAGTGAATCACTTCTCGTAATCTGCTTCCCCATCTTTGAACTCTCTTCCTTTCAGATGTTACCTCAAATGTATTAAATTCTCCATTGACTATTAACTTGCTGAATTGATCTGCTTATATGCTACTAGATTTAGATATTTGGAGGGAATGAATTCCATATAACTGTTATCTGCTTATTGTTTGCTTGCTTTATATACTGTCTCCAAAATTAATCAATTGTATTATTGATTATAATTACTCATGAATAATAAATATCAATTATTTTAATTTATTTGTATCTTACCTTTATTTATTTATTTTTTTACAAATAACCCAAGGCTGCGAACATATCTAACATACATTCCTCCTCTATTTTCCCCACAACGATAACCCTGTGAGGTGGATTGGGCTGAGAGAAAGGGACTGGACCAAAGTCACTCTACTCAATGCTTGATATCCGGAGGGGCACCGGTGATTAGGAGTCCTTGTCACACACTCTGCTAGATCAATGCAAAGAGTAGCACGCTTCTGTATCTCTAGATATTTTTGTCCTTTTTGGAGAAGTGCTCGCCCTAACCGGGAACTCTCACTGATGAGATAGGCCTGACGGGAAATCTCATCTCATTGACCTATTCACAAGACCGCCAAGGAACACATACTCTTACAGTCTTTCCAGCCTAAGGATGCTAAAGTTGGTGGCTCAGCTCTTCCCTTCCCTGTTTGTTTGAACAGCATATACTGCTGGTCCAAGCCCTGAGAGGCTTAATTAAATGTGTTAATTCTGCAGCCTCCTGCTACAATATGTCAAGTAGCTCTGTTTTAAGTCTCATAACCCTATGGTCCGAGAAAAAGTGTCTGGGGAGACAGACATGCCCCATTGATTTCTGAAGATTTCCAGGGTAATATCCTGAATGGCTTGCTTTTATTTTCTCAGCTTAAGACTGGCCCACTTGCTACATAAAGCACAGCCGGGGATTCCTTGATCAGAGTAGCATATAAAACACTCTCTGGTACAAACTGGGAATGGGTTTCATTCTCAATCTGGGTCCAGGAGCCCTCAAGCCAAGCTAGGCATCTTTACAGTAGTATGCAGTTTTTGCCTGGCATTTTTGACTTCCTGGACGACCCTTTTGAATACTAACTGGGTCTGTCTCTGCTTAGCTCTTTGCAATATTTATCTAGACAAAGAACAGGTAGTCCTGGACTTATAACAGTTCATTTAGTGACCGTTCAAAGTTACGGCGGCACTGAAAAAAAGTGACTTATAACCATTTTTCACACTTACAACTGTTGGTCCCATAATCAAAATTAAGACGCTGGGTAACTGACTCATATTTATGACGGTTGCAATGTCCCCTGGAGTCATGTGATCCCTTTTTGAGCCTTCTGACAAGCAAAGTCAATGGGCAAGCAGGATTCACTTAACAACCGTGTGGCTAATTTAACACCTCCGGTGATTCACTTAACAATTGTGGCCAGAACGATTGTAAAATGGAACACAACTTCCTTAACCACTGGCTCGCTTAGCGAGAGAAATTTTGGGCTCCATTGTCGTAAGTCAAGGACTACCTATATTCCAGTTACAAGGAAAACCTGCTAGAAAACTCTTTTTACCAAAGCCACTTCTTGGGTGGACCTAATCCTTTAGCTACACTTTTCCGAAAAGATGGGAAGAAGGATCAAGGCCTCAATTGGAGAGGATATGAGAGAAGATATGTAGTTTGTGATTTTGGAAAAGGTTCCCCTGTCCTGACTATCCATGCTAATCGAACACAGACCATAAAGCTGCCTGATCTCTTCCTTGCCTGTTGTGATGTCTCCAGAAAAGCCTTTTAAAGCATTTAGCCATCCTGCCTTTTTCATAGAATGTTAGGGGGCATCCAGGTTGTGATAGTTTTCATCCCATCCTCCCCTTTATTTTGCTTCTTACCAAAATAACAAAAATTAAATTCATTATAGGAGTGGGAGGGGAAGCAGACTAACTTTGGGTTGGCAGCACAAGGAGATTTACAGTACATCCGAAGGGAACCTTGCCTTGTTAGAGCATCCACCTTGGACAAGGCAGGGTGAATTGTCCATCACTCAGTGACATGAAGTCCTTCCTGAGGACAGCCATCATTTAGTCTGGGTGCAGAGTGGAGATTTATAATCTTTACAGGCGTGCCAATTTGACCTCTCATAGCATGGAGGCTGCTCGGTATCCATATCTCGCAATAATAATATATAGTGACAAGAAAATAAAAATGTATTTGTAGCAATAAAAATAATAATTAAAAGAAGAGCATAAGGAGCTCTTGTAGAACATGAATAATCAGTTGCCTCTCCGTTTATCAGTATGGCTGGAGATGGCTCCTCTTCCTCCTCCTGCTCTTCCTCCTCTCCTCTTCCTCCTCCTCCTCATTTCTTAAGATAATCTTCCAATACTTTTTTCCAACACATACAATCTTCTAAGGCAGTGGTTCTCAACCTTTTAAATGCCGCGACCCCCAACCGGTCGTAAGTCAAGGACTAAACCAGTCGTAAGTCGAGGACTAAACTGGTCATAAGTCAAGGACTATCCAACCGGTCGTAAGTCGAGGACTTTCCTTGCCCGGGAGCACTGCGCATGCGTGGTGCCGCCCCCTGCGCCGGCCGAGGTGTAGCTGGCAAGCGGCAGAGACGGAGCAAGCCGACCACCGGCTGGGCCACCAGCTGGCCCAGCCCAAGGGAGGTAAGGCACCCGCCGGAAAAGGGAAAAAAAATGGTGGACAGCCTTGCTTAGCGACCCCCGTGAAATGGTCGATTGACCCCAAATGGGGTCGCGACCCATAGGTTGAGAACCGCTGTTCTAATGTAATTTAACTGGGAACTAACCATTTTTAATGTGGGTGTTGATTGGTAGGGCTATTTTCTGTTTAAGGTATTAAGTGCTCTCTTATCTTCTAAATAAGTTAATTTTTATGAGGTTTGTAAGGTTAAGTAACATTGATCTAGAGCAGCATTTCTCAAATGCTTGGCAAATTAAAACATGTGGACCATCTCCCAGAATGCTAGGGAATTGAAGTCCACACATCTTAAACTTGGCAAGGTTGAGAAACACTGCTGTAGATCAATGGCCTTAGAGGGTTTTGTAAGATGTTTCAGCATTCAGCTTTTGTACTACAAGTTTAAAGTTTAGACACCTTGCCAGATGAAAATAAATATCCTTTAACAAAAAAAAAAAAAAAAATCCCAACAAAAGGGTGGAATGGAACCAATTTTCAGAAGGAAATTACAGGGGACTGTGTACAGCCAGTTTCAGAAATCAAGAATTCCATTTTCAAGAAAGCTTGCCATCAGCCAAGGTTCGTATCCATTCAAGAAATTTCCCCAGATAACAGATGGATGCATAGGCTGATAAGAGGGCAAAGCAAGGGACAGAACTGAAAACAGAAGAGAGAGATGCCAAATGGGAAGGAAAGGAAAGAGTAAGGTCAGGGATACAGGATCCAAACCAGAGGTCCCCAACCTTTTGGGCACCAGGGACCAGTTCCACGGAGAAAGGTTTTTCCATAGACCAGAAGAAAGTGTGTATGGTTTTGTGTCCTGCTTTGCTTGTTTGTGCAGACTGGTTGCTGGCATGCCGCGGCCCAGTACCGGTCCACGGACCAGGGGTTGGGGACCCCTGATCTAAAGCACCTGAAAGATGTCAGCAGCTTCCCACAATTGAGAAAACTGTTCTTCCAATTTACCTGGCAAACTTAAACTGCAAAGATTTTAATTAAGGATTTTAAGAAATTGGTTTTATGCAAATTGCAGCATGGAGGCATCTTTTCCACCAGGCAAGGAAGAAGTCTGATGGGGCCTCTTGCCTTATGCAGACAACTTTAATGATTTTATCACAAGTCTTATAATACTTGGTAGTATTTTTAAGCTGCCGCTCCTGCTGCTGCTTGGGAACAAGTGGTTAGATTAAGGAGAAAAAGTGTTTTTTTTTATTTTTAAAAAAGTTTGGGAAGAATTTAAAGGTCTGGGTAAAGTGTTTGTGTGTGTGTTTTTAAAAAACTTTAAAATGTAGCAATAAAACAGAACAATAAAAAAAGATTTAAAAATAGTTCCCAATAGAATGTAAACTAAGATTCTACAAGTCAGAAAGAAGAATCTGAAAACTAGCAGATCCCGGTTGACTGTTTCCTGACTAATATTTGGTTGGTTCAAGAGGAAGTTTAAAGCTACAGTCCTAAAACACAAAGGAATAAGCACATTTTTTTTTTAAAAAAAGAGCTTATTAGCACATAAGCTTGGAGCGGTGTGGATCTGAGGGTTCCATATATTATTCTCATTGTGCCATTAAAATGAACATCAATCTTGCTGTTTGGTTGGTATGACAACTTCTTCGCCATATTTGGCGACAGGGTATGCTCTGAATATCTGCAAACCTCTTGAAGAATGGAACTATAGCGATCAGAGCGTCAGGATTCTGCCTTTTAACCTCATTCTCTGTGAGGGAATACATCCAAAGGAAAGGCAATGAAGGAGATGCGTGTGGGGAACTATTGCCGTGATCACTTCATAATGATCAAAGCTCAGGTCCCAAGTTCTATTGTCTACATCTCCAGGTGGAACCAAAACCCACAGGGAGCTTTTCTAGGATTATTTTTTTTTATCCCATCTTTATTATTTTTTATAAATAACTCGAGGCAGCAAACATACCTGACACTCCTTCCTCTTATTTTCCTCACAACAACAATTCTGTGAGGTGGGTTGCGCTGAGAGAGAGAAGGACTGGCCCAAAGTCACCCAGTCAGCTTTCAGACCTAAGATGGGACTAGAACTCATAGTTTCCTGGTCTCTAATCTGCTGCCTTCGTCCCCTTTATACCAAACTGGCTCCGAGATCTGTGGTTAAGGTTAAGGCAGATATTTGTCATTTGCATTTTAAATCAAAGCCAGCCTCCTTCATCTTTGCTGCCTTTCATTACTGTTAAGAAGTAGGTGTCTTCTAGGTCTCCATTATCATTCACCACAGCATGCACAGTCTCATACAGGAGAAATCAAGAGAGCTGAAAATGTGTTTGGGGGTGGGGGAATAGAAAGGAAGCTCCCCTAAAACAAGATGAATAGAACAAACAACTGAAAGGCCCAAGCAGAAGAGAAAACAAAGGTGCAAATTGTTAATTGGGAGTTGTGGAGAGTATAATGGGTTATACAGAACTTGATACAAAGATGTTCCTAAAACAAGCTGAAGAAATCTTGATGCCTTTAACAGGCAGCTTATATCCTTTATGGCCAGAAATTCTGGCTCCCTGGGGGAATCCCCAGCTTCCCTTACTTTGGAATGCAAAAACCTCTCTGGAAGCCCCATTAATCAGAGTTACTTGGAATAATTCACCATCCCAAGCAGGACTTTTTTTTTCCCCTTGGAAGGGGTGTCATGTGAACTGTGGAACCGGCAGAGATAAGGGCACATCTGTTGGGATTGCCCACCTGGCTCAAGATACGATACAAAATGGGTTAAGGTAATTAGCAAGTTTGATTCTATGTAGTCTGGATGAGTTCAAGAACTGGGATTTTCTACTTCTTGGGTGTGTAGAAAGTTTAAGGAATAATGATAAGGTGACCAACTTTTTTACAATGAGAAAGAGGACACAAATAAGTGGAAGGAAAAAAAAGTGAGTCTAATACGTGCGTGTGTGCCGTGTCGTGTTTTGGTAAGAAGTAAACAAAGCCACTTGCGTGCGGCGCACTCTTGCGTGCGGCGCATTCTTGCGCGGTGCACTCTTGCGTGCGGTGCACTCTTGCGCGCGGTGCATTCTCTCAAAACAATTCTCCTCTGCGGAGCGCATGCGTCTCATAATCGCGTCTTGCCGCACTGTACCGAGCCTTGACGAATTGTCATGTCAAATACAAATACGTCACATCACAAGCAAAGGATCAGATCGGCATCGATCGAATACGGAGATTTACAGATTTTAGCCTTCAAATATCAAAAAGGAGGACATTAGGAGGACACTTTTCGAGAGAGGACAGAACTTACAAATGAGGACTGTCCACCCTAAAGGAGGATGGTTGGTCACCTTAATAACAATCAAAGAGTGATGCTGTAAGCTGCCTCATTTTTGTTTTGCATAGAAATATCAGATTGTGCTGTTTTATAGTTCTGGGACATCACTATCAAATCTATTTTCCCTCCTCTGTCCCTGGTAAGCTCTAGACTAGAAATGCAACAGGCGCTTTCTACTACGGTAAGAGGCCACATTAGTCTTTGTTGCCTTTGCTATATAACAGCAAGTCTCCTCCTTTGGAATGTATCGGCAATCTGTTCTCCAAGTGTGTCTTTGGCATCAGGCAGGTGTGGATGCATGTAAGCATGCCTTATAGTTGTGGTGGTTTCAACATCGTTTGTGTTCTGCAGAATACAAAGAAATAAATAGATGGAATGACAAAAGCAGAATAACAGAATTGGAAGGGACCTTGGAGGCCCACCCCAACTCCCAGACTATGGCTCACTACCAGGCCTTGAGCCCTTCGGAACTGGGCCCTGGAAGTGAGCCATCTCCTGACTCCCCCTCCCAAGCTGGTCCACAAACCCGGTTCTAGTCGAACACTTGCTCAAGCAGGAAACCCTACACCATCTCAGACAAATGGTTGTCCAATCTCTTCTTAAGAGGCAGGGATAGACCACAATGCTAGATCCTCGTCGGTCTACTATGGGTTCCCCATTCAGACTTTGCTTCCTCTGAAGTCTGTTTTTTTTTTTTACAAATCTTGGGGCACCCCCCAAGATGACTTCTAATGAGGGAGCTTTTTAAAAATCCATTTGCGTCTATGTTCACTACATTAAAACTACAAACTCCAGTAAACAACTGAACTACAAAAACGTAACACTAGCAGAAAGCAAGAGGCAAGAAAGGAGACAGAAAGTCCTGGAGACTTCCTCATCTGCTGAAAGAAACCACGACAGAAGCCACTGTATAGGCAGGTCATTCAACAATCCATGGACACTTCCACTTCATCCATTCACCTTTTTCATTTGGTCTCATCTGAAGGAAGCAATGAAAAGTCCGGGTGGAGAAAAGTAGTCTTGGGCCCTACAGAAAATTTCTGCAAAAGAGGTGCACTTTGGGAGAACTGTCACTCAAGGTATCTCTGCTTAAGTTTTCACAATTTTCATTGCTAATATGTTCAACTCTCACCAATTGGCATAATAATAATTTCCTTTAAATATATCTATTTTGAATGATTCCTCCTCAGGACAATGAATTCTTCATTTGTGATTGCTGGTACATTTATGTGCTTAGTGTGTGTGTGTGTGTGTGTGTGTGTGTGTGTGTGTGTGTGTGTGTGGAGGATCAAAATGAAGCCGTTTTGTGAATCTGTTGTTTCTGCAGCTTAATTTCACTGAATTTCTCAGATTGATTGTAAGTATCTCTGTAACACTACCATTGACCTGCATATCTTGTAGGAACCACGATTTTATAACTGAAAAGGGAAGAAATAAAATAACAAATTGCAGAGATGGAAGAGGTGAAGAAAAGGCCAGTTATGAATGATCCAGGGGCCAGTCCTTGTTGAAGAAAGATTACTATTTTTGGCATTATCTAATGAAGATGAAAAGAGTATGGAATTTGATCAACATTTAAGAAAAGTATTTTTGGTGTAGGGAAAATGGACAATTTTAAAGGTTATACAGTCTTTTGTAAGGACTAGAATTTGGGGACACACAACGAAGAAATTAATTCAGAGTAAATTTGAGAAAAACAAAAGGACGCTTCACCCAATGTTTAACGAATCCTTGTTCGGTTTTTTTTTTTTTCAGATGTTTATTACTTGGAAATGCATTTAGGTGACAAGCCTGGAAGGTCTACCGAAACTCTTAAGACGGTTCTCGTTACGGCAGTGCCACCTAGTGAGTTTGGTTAGAACCGCCAATCCAGTATCCATTCCCTCAATTTCTTTTCCTTGATGTACTGCAGATTGCAAGACCTGAAGTTTGAACAGGACAATTTGAACAATTTGATTGATCATCCGGAGTGTTCAGTATTGAAGGATCTTAACTGATAGCTTTATTTATCAGTTATTTATTTTGAAGGTAGAAGTAGACGACCAGGGCAAAAGGGAGGATAGGATGGTCCTCACCACTCTCTCTGACATTTTTTTTTTTTTAATATCATTTTCTCCTGGGTCAAAATTTGGAAGGATCCTTCAGTTCCAAAACGTCCTTCCTGGCACACTTTTTTTGAACCAGAAGTTAGTGGAAATATAACACAATTCAATGAATGTTTTTCTGCTCCAAACTGAATAGTTTTTCCTCAGATACCAGAGAACTCCGATGGTCCATTTTTTATTTAGCACATTTGCTTTAAATAAATTACATATTAACAGTAAAGGTCTTTGTGGCCCTCTTCTTCTATCTCCTCTTCATTCCTTGTGGAATCAGGCTTAATAAAGCAATATATCTGAATTCACTCAAAATGCTGTATCCAAACCAAGTAAATGACAGGCTTGGTATAATCTATGAATCAGACCACCAAGATTAAAAATTGAAATACACAGACAAGTTAAGGAATGAGTACTTTAGGGGTTGGCCATTAGTCTTGTACCACAGCAAACCTGAACAAAGTAGGTTACGGTATAAATAAAATTTATGTTGAGTCTTTACTTGCTACATGAATGGAACTAGTACATCACAAGATTTCATCGCTAGCAAGTTCATCTACATACAAGATGGTAAACATTACATAAACTATCCAGAACTTTGTATTAATCTAAAGCAGGGGTGTCCAACCTTGGCAACTTTTAAGACCTGTGGACTTCAGTTCCCAAAATTCCCCCATACCTAGCTGGGAGTTGACGCCCACAGGGCTTAAAGTTGCTAAGGTTGGATACCTCTGATCTAAAGCCTATCAGAGTTGTTACGACATAAACCTTTGCCTAGTGGAGTTCATGATATTTCTTATCGGGCTGAAATACTTTCCAATTTGACTTGGCATTGTTGAACTTATTCTCTTCTGAATTATACCAGACACTGCTCTTGTGATCCCTTTGCAGCTTGCTTGGTTAACTTCACTCTCTAATATGGAAAAAAAAAAAACCCACCCTAATTTAGAAGGGAGGATGACGTTCCCTTCACGAGGCCTTCTGTTATGATTTGGGGTAAATCAGAGAGATGGAGGGGAGAACTTAAAGAAAGAGATGCAATAGAAACTGCAGCCCGCTGAGAATACAACGACTGTACTTAAGGAATACATCCCTGGCCAATTCATAACTCAGTTAAATGAAAGCACCCTGTATCAATTCCCAATTTAATTCCGCGGAAGAAAAACTCTTTTCCATAACATTAGATGACATGGTTTAGCAAAAGCAGAACAGGGGCTCTATAGAGACCTAATCCTTGCATTCCTTCACACCTAACTCTTAAAGAGTCTCTTGCAATGGATGATCTGGAGACAGGTGTTTTAGCCTGGAGGCCACCTTCAGCAAACTCAGAGGAACTTAGTATATCCCAGATCATAACGAAACCTCCATTCTGCTGATCTGACTATTCTTCCAAACATCCAATGTGAATACTTTGACACACACCAGCATTATGCGCCCCGAGGTAAACAGGACTTACAGCAAAGTACATGTAGGCCGTGTTGCACGCATCAAGAGCAGCAGTTCTCTTATTTTGGTGTGAGATATGAAAAAAAGAGATGTAGATGCACAAGTCGGGCTCAGTGAAGATGGGTGGTTTTCACTCCTGTCTGTCCAAATTAGATCCAGTTGGTCCAAGACGTCTTGATCACACTTGCTCAATCGCAACTGATCAATTGCAAGCAGGCGAGGTTGAAATATTCAATATTTCTTCTAAAGGAGCCTCCCAGATCTTTCAGTAAGAAGAAAGCATTGCCTTAGCCTCCCATTGACTTTCCAATTGAAGATATTTCAAGGATTGTAGGAGACGTAAAGCAGGAATAGACAACGGGATGATTTGCTCTTCTGGCAGAGTTGTGGAAGTGGCTTGTTATTTCCTCCTTCCGTGATGTCCCTTATATCTGCAGGTTTGACCCCCCCCCCCAAAAAATGCTTGCTGTGTCTCACTTTCTGCAACTCACTAGCCTTTCCCACCCAAATGTGATTCCCCGCTAGAACACGAGTTTTGCTTTCTGAGTTTAAGGATGGTTTATGGGCGATTAGCGCCATTTTCAGGCCCCCATGGGGTGGCCTCTGCTCGTGGTATTATTTTACATCGAGCTTCATGTCCTTGCAGTAGAAACAGCTGTCATTAACATACAACTTTTAGTATTAAAAAAAAAAAGAGTTTGGCTTCAGAGGAAACCTCTTTTCTCGTTCTTCTAATTCAAATTAAAGACTTGGCAGTGGTTTTGCATAAAATAAAAACATCTCCAGAAATGACAAAGAGGACTCTGAAAGAAGCAGCAATTACAAGAGAACCAAAAGCATTTCTTCCTCCAGGTGGAGAAATGAGCCCTGCATCGGTTCTGTTTTTAATAGTTTAAAAAAAAATAGAAAAAATAAAATGGAATGCATCTGGCATCTGAAAAACAAAGGCCTTGGGGACCGAACCTGGATCGTAAATACGTCCATTCTTTTTTCTCCTTGTATTTTTTCCCCTGTTTTCCACCGTCAATCATTTTAAAAACCAAAAGTGTAGCCACTGATTGACCTGGCTAGCTTTTTGTAGGAGAGTTTTGTCTCTGGAGTACATTGGAGCGTCATAAATTCCTCCCACATGAGCTGTGTGGGTGGGGGCAGCAAACCCTTGGCATTGTCCTTCCTTCTTGCCTTGATGGGCTCCTATGGCCAATGCAGACCGTATCAAAATTCTTTAAAGCTGCAACACACAAGAGGATACAATCAGAAATGTCATCTGCTCAGATGGTTTAATGGTATGTGGGAACAACCTTGGGAGAACCTCTCAGGATCCCAACCAAGGCCAAACGGTGCCACTCACACATCCAACTCAAGCGTCGCATCCACGTTTTAGGCTTAGCATTCAAGAAGCAGGGAAAGAAGATATCAGAAGTTTGACTGAGGAAAGAGTGTAGAAAGCCCAAGAACCCTAATCATTGTACAAGGCTCTTTCTCAAGACGTTTTGATTTTTTCTCCAACACCAGATACTCAAGAAAGAAGATTCCAAGAAGTTGCAGAGGGTCAAGAACAATCTTTAACTATTGGAACCAAAGACACCAAAAGCCAAGAGACCTATCAAGGTACGCCAGGGGCTTGAAACATAGACTTACCGGGATTTATGGCCCCAGAGCATGACTGTTCAAAAAATGGTGATTGACCTGCAAATATAATCAACATAAAGTGGACCCGAGTTTCTGGGTGCAAGATGGAACAAAGCGTGCAGAAGATATTCAGCAAGGTTCCTTGCTTTTAGAGTAATGGTTCTCAATGATTGTTCTAATGGTTCCCAGCAAAAGTGCAACTCCATTGATCCTGGTCTGTTCTGGCAACATTCACCCAAGCAACATCTTATAGGAACTTTCCTGTTTGCCAAAGGTTTTGAGCGGCACCTGTTGGCTTTGCTTAGGCAAGTGACCTTCAAAGGGAGTGATGACCAGGAATTAAGAGGACAGTATCAATTGTGAATATGTACAGATGACCCCTTTCTCTTTTTGGTCACTTGCAGAGTCCCGGATGCAGGGTCATGAAAGGACAGCAAGGATAACACTCAATGTCCTAACCCACCCGAGAACATAAGATATCTTTAGGGAAACACCCAAAAGGGAGCATGTTTAGCTACTTCTGCTTTCTCCCTTCTTATCTACAGTGTGCCAGACTTACTGGATGAAATCTTTATCTTATGTGTGTCAGCTTTGCTGGATGGGTTGCTTATGAAAGAATAAATACAAGGATTTCTTGTCATTTGTTGCTCCCCTCATTTAGAGGAGTCTGTCTCTATTCAGCTGAATAAAAACGTAAAGCTTGAAGGCAACTTCTGATTTGCTGTATTTCTTTATCAAGCAAAACCTCAGAACCTGCATATCAGGAGGACTTTTCTTTTGGTGGAGCTTTGCTTATGGATTAACTTTAAACCGGAAGCAGAGCCCATTTAGTAAATTATGCCCTGATTTAAAGTGTAGCTTCAAAACAGATGCTCCTAAACTAAGAACAAAAGTCAGAGTTGAAAAAAGAAGGAGGGACAATATGCTATCACTGTTTCTAATAACAGATTCAGAGAACGAGTGTTGACAGAAGTGTGATGGGAACTGCTAGGTGTTGTTGGTTTTTTTTGAAACAGGCAGTATAAAAATATAACAAACAAACAAACATGAGCCAAGGTAAGCTCACTGCTGAGCAAGAAAGCATGATGCTGCTGCATGGGAAAAAAAATCTCATTTTCCCTTTCATCCTTCCTTTTCCCGTTTACAACGGAATTGCAATCCACCTCCAACCTCTAAGTATGCTCACCAACCTCAGATTATTAAGTAAAAATAGGAAACAGGGCTAGAATCGAAGGCACTTGGCTGTCTGGCTTGAACCCTGACCATTAACACGATTAGGAGATAAGGATATAGAGCATCAGATGCACCAGTAAGATATGGAAGGTTTTTGAAGTTCCTTAGTGTCCCTTAGGATGGAAAATAGCCAGTATGAAAAACTGTTTTGTCTATCTCATGGCTAGAGGGTTAGGGTTAGGTGTCCATGAATTCAGAAAGCAAAATGAGATTCATAATGTAGAAAATCTAGGGAATTTTGTACCGGAACTTTACCAAAGGATTAGAACACTGGTTATCAACATCTGGAATATGGCTTTTTCAAACACTTACCCTCTTTTTCTTCTATAGAATCCACACCAACCTCGAATTTCTTTGAATACCACTCGTGAAAGGAGCTGAAAGCAGAAGACGTACTCAAAATTACTTTTTCCATGAATTTTATAGGTCTGTGCAAAAGTTTACAATGGATTAGATTTGTTTGATTTATTTTAATATAAACGTAATGCATTCATGCTCCTCAAACCAATACACTATCTTCTATTAATTGCTTCTTTCCAAATTTCGTGATGCAGGTCCCCAGTGTGTGTGTGTGTGTGTGTGTGTGTGTGTGTGTGTGTGTGTGTGTGTGTTTTAAAATGCAATGGGAGAGAATTCACATTTTGCCATTCGCATTTAATTAAACAATTGCTAAGTGATACTCCTGAAAAGGTACTTACCAGACACGCCAAAACATCGGCTGAAATCAACATGTAGAAGACATTATCCCAACCAGAGCTGGAGATCAAACCTGCTAACAAAGGCCCAAGGGCAGCACCTGAAAATGGAAATCATGCAAAAGATCAGGAACCCAGGAGCCCAGATGAAACGCCAGCTCATGCCATGTAGATCAAAGATCTCCAACCTTTCCAGGCTTGCAGTCTGGAGGGAAGGAGAGCAGCTTCAAAATTGGTGTGTGCGTGCTCGCGCACACGGGGCCACACGCACTGGCGTGGCACTAGTGGCCCCGTTCATGCATGCAGTTTGGGCTGGTGCCATGCGCATGCACAAATGGCCACACAACCTCCACCATGGCTAGCGGCCCCATTCACGCATGCGCAAGGGGGCCGCGCAACCCACCGGCGCTAGCAGCCCCATTCGTGGCTGTGCGCATGCACAAGCAAGGCCGTGGGCGCTAGCACAAGTGGGAGAGAATGTGCGCCCATATGTGTGCACACCGGCCAGCCATTTCTATGGCCTGCTGTCCTAGAGCCCATGGCCCATACAGTGGAGAACCTGATGTAGGTGGTCCACACCTTTTAGCAAAATGGAATTAGGAGTCCTTAGTTAGTAGCTGTCCCCAAGGAGGGCAAGAAGGAGAATTGAAGTAACAAGCACGTGGTTACAGACTATGACATAACTGCCAGGTGGGAACAAGGTCCTCAACTAGAATTCTGAAGGAAAGGATGGACAATGAGATAAATGCTTTTGGGAAGCTTCTGGGTGGTATCCAATCAGGACAGCAATTTTTAATGCAGAGAGTTATTTGATAGCTTCAACTAGACAAGTTAATGTGTTCAAGATGTTGTTCTTTCAGATGCAGACACAACTGCAGGAGAGGGTGTCAGTCTGTGTGTCGCCCTACATCCCTGCATTTGCAGATCTTTGAACATTCCAGACAAGGAGGACTTTGTGCCAGCCATTCATAGGGTGGATTTAGATTCAAAATGGATCACATTGTATTAGGGTTCAAAGTTATGAAAGACTGCCCCAGAGCTATTTATGACTCAGTTTTGATGTTCTATGAATTTGAGTCGTAATTGGAGGACTATCTGTAGGAAGCAAAGACTCTTGGGAAGGGTTACTATCCATTTCTCATTGTTACGATCCTTGGAGACAGAAAAAAAACCCTCAATTTACTAAGCCTAACCACAGTTTCTTAAAACCCAATCAAGGATTAAATTGGCAGCCATCTGCCTACTGACCCACAGATCCTGTTCCATCAATGATGGCTGTGACTGTGGAGAGAGCTTTTGCGTTTCCCTGGAGACTTTCATGAGTACCCTGGAGAGGACAAAAAAATAAATAAATAAACAAATGCAAAGGAAAAATAATACTTGAACAGATTACGTAAGTGTTTGTACAGGTGCAATTTCACAGAGCTCCAAAATATCCTACATTTTATCTTCCTGATTTGTCCACGGGTGTAAAACAGCTTTAGTTTACTTCAGGACTGGCAAAGGAATGACTTCTGAATCCCGTATGAAGGACCCAGAGTGCAAAAATTTGCTAAAGCTGATCATTTATTTATTACATAGTGTAATTTCTTTGTTTTTCTATGATTTGTCTTTTACAGCTTCTAGTGACAATTGCAATTCTTGCTGCAATAAAAATCAGCCAGATATTTATCAGTTTCAGCCAAAAACAGGAATAAAGGTTTCTTTACTTGAACAGTTACTATGGAGAAGGGGAAAATTTTGCAATCAGGAAACCTTTCCAGAATATCTGCTGGATAAATGGAATTGCTTTGAATCAGGTCTTTTCCAAGTTCCAAATCCCTTCCAAGTTTCAACTTCTATGGGTTGCTTTCAGCTAAGAATTTCCATTCTCCTGAGATTTCAATGATCCAAGGTGTCGTATTTATACTGGATGGAAAGAAATGTCTTAGCTGTGCCCAAATAAACAAACCACTGTGCCGTGCTTGTGAAATCCTATTCCGCTGAGTCTGTCCAAGCCCAGAAATTTTAAAGCAGATGAAGATGCAAAATATATAGGCACTGCTATGAATATTAGGAGGCAGAGTGTTTCACATTTGAGGCCAAATGAGGGATGAACTACACATTACACCGATGCAAAGTTTGGCCATCGTTTTAATTCACTAAATTACAGTTGTGCAAAGTGTCATCTCCCTCCTGGGAGTAAGTGAGATAAAAACCCTCAAATGCACACACACAGGACTGCAAAATTGCACCTGAGTGAATTAAAAGTTTCGTGTTGCCAGCGTTGACTCAGAAGACAAGCCAAAAGGTAGTAGGAGTGAATAAAGAACAAGTTCATCCTTACCAAATCAGCTGAAACAGCAGTTGTAATGAGAGCATAGGGTCCATTGACAAGGGCACCACAGATAATGAGCATTACTAAATAAAAAGAAAAAAGAAAAGAACATGTCAGCTCTACAACCTAACCAGATTATTTTCCAGCTAAGGACAAAAAGGCTGTCTGGATGAAACAATAAATATTGCTCTCCAGGTCAAGGTAATGTGAGAACTAATCCCGATTTTCTGTTGGGAAGTTTACATGGATTTGTAAGCAAAACATTTCCAGAAAGTAATGCATTCTTACCTATGGATGTACCTAGTCCATTTTGGCCAACATAGTTGTACAAAAAGAGCTGGAATCAAAAGCAAAGCAACAAGTAAGAATTTACCTATAAAGAAAAAAACACCAGGAACCTGGACCATTGCATCCTTCTCAAACAGGTGGTGGCAATTGAACCTTTTTATATTGCTAGTTATTTTTGATAATACCAACTTCATAAAACATCTGGGATTCTTTGGACTTTCCATTAATTTCAAGTAGCATGGCCAAAGACAAGGGATTGTGGGAACTTTGCTTCAAAACATCAAGACGCCCTAAGGCTGACTGGCATAGAAGCAGGACAGGGGCTTAGAAAAGGCTACCTGGCCTTTAAAATATTGGCCAAGGTCACTTGAATTGTGCTTAGCTTGTTGTACAATCCCGGCCAACTATGGCTTATTTGGTAAAAGAAATTACCAAACTATTGACAAATCAGATTACAGTAGATAAAAACTGTCTAAACTAGGTGAAATCTTTGTTTAATTCAACCCTGGCTTTTCCATCAGTGGTCAACCAGAATACTGCATGAAGCTAGAGATCTTTTTTAGGTAGTTACTCCTCCTAAAATGATACAGAACCCACGAAGCTGAAGATGATATGGGAATACTCACCATGGGAGCTGCCAGGATAAGCATTGCACAGCAAGTGGTGGCCCTGCCACCAGTGTAGTCTGAGATAAGACCAGCCATGATGCCCCCTGCATGACAAAAAGGTATGGTTTCATAGCAGTAGATGCCAAAGCCAAGAACGGACAGGAAGGCAGGTGCCGATCCTACACTCAACCCAGAACTTTGTTTTCCAAACTGAACTGAGCTCCCACGCCTCTTACACAAAAGCTCATTCCAGCTTTTCCTCCTTCCAGCTACTTTCCATTAGAGCTACTAGATCTGCCTGCAAAAATGGAGTGGTATTAGAAACACAAAAATAGCGTAACTGTTGGCTGACAACTAGAGTTAGTCCAGATTTTTCCAGTCAAGATCTGGTAGCCCTACTTTCATTTCAGCAATCTAAACTTAAAGGCAGGGAAGGAGTTTGATGATTGCTTGGAGTTTAAAAAAAACGTGATGTGATCTGCAAATCATTGAAGAGTCCACCCAAAGATTACAAAGTACTTCCTGCCACTGCCTATTCCAGACCAGTGGTCCCCAACGTTTGCGGCTTGGTGGTCCAGGTGGAAGGGGAGCGAAGGGAACTGGGCCATGCAAGCCGGTGTGCATACACATATACACCAGCCCACCTCTCGTGCAAGTGGAGCTGCACACATGCATGCTGGTCTGTCTCTTACATGGCCCAGTTCCAAATAGGCCACGGCCCGGAAGTGGTCCATGGTTCGGCGGTTGGGGGTCCCTGCTCTAGGCCTGGCTGGCTGAGGAATTCTGGGAGTTGAAGTCCACAAGTCTTAAAGTTGCCAAGTATGGAGACCCCTACTCTAGGCTGTCAACTCACACCCTCAACATCTCCTCTCTTCCCAGACTCTGATACAAAAATGCAAAGAAAGATCCAATGAAATCAATCCAACATACCAATAATGCCGCCAACATCAAACAGAGTTGACATATCTCCAGCTTCTTTTGCACTTAAGCGGGCTGCAACAACAACAGAAAGGGAAAGGAGAAAACAAGAATGAGTGATGGTCAACGGCCCATGACACAGAACATGTTTTGTTGGGCTGTGCAACAGGTATGACTCAAGGTGGAAAGGAGTCTTCAGGGAAACACACAGCATTTCTTCACAAATCCTCAAAAGTAGCCAAGTCTGATAAATACTATGTGTGCAACCCTACATGCTCTGAAGAGCATTCTTCTCTTTGGATCTGAAGCACCATGCAGCGACAAGGCATTGCATGCATCAGAACCCAATTTTTTAAAAAACAGGATCTTCATTAACAGTACTGGGAAGACTACTGTTCATAATTTGGAGAGTCATGGCCATTCAACCTCAGCAATAGTAAACTGGATAAATCTCCACCTTATTTGGATCTAAAGAAGCTCTGTGTGTTCCAAAACAGTTGATTTGAAAATTACTTTTCTCATGTAATGTTCTATCAATGTGTTGGCCCGTGTTTCGCCAATCAGGGGTCGCAATTAACTTGCTTATTCTGTACCCAGGGAGGGGGGGTTGGGTGCAAAATAAGCAAGACCGTGTGATAATTGTGGCAGAGTCTGGAATTTTCCATGCTAGGAAATAGACCCTGTGTTTTTCTTTTTTCTTTTTGAATTTCTTAATTCTGATTTAGAGTTGACACAACAAGCTTTCAAGGTCTTGCAATTGTGCCATTAAATTTAGCTGACACCCGACTGCTTAAATTTGATACGTTGGGCAGCTATGTGTCAAAACAGTCCTTGGAAACACCATAAATCAAACTTGCTTAAGTAGGTCAAAACTTCCTGGACAGGTATTATCATTTGGGGATCAGAAGTAACTTGATCCTGACTCACCAACGTTCACGATGTAGAGAGGCAGCCAATAGAGAAAGGTGTAGCTGACTAGTTTGGCAAACAAAAGGCAGAAGGAAAATTCGATCACTCCCTGTAATGGTGAGAGAGACAGAGGGAGAGAGGAATTAGTTATCAGCAAATGCTCAAAATCAGCTGGAAGGCAGAAAAAAGCAAGATCTAATGTAGGACAGAAGATCAGTGACCTAACTTTCCTGATTTCCTGTTTCACCACTCTTAAATGAAGCTTGTGAGTTTTGAATTTTAATTTGGGGAACAAAATATGGGAAAAAACCCAAACTAGTCTTGCAGGCAATTCTTTGATTCATTCATTTTTGTTAAGAGATGCTCAAATTTAGATCAGGACAACCACAGAGGAGAAGTGACCCAACCTTTTGCCCTCCATTATATTTAAATTCCCTCCTCTGATTTGCACCCAAGCCCCAAGAGAAACTTGCTAACTCCTTTTTTTTTTAACAGCAATTTTGTAACAGTAATCTTCTATTATTTACATTTCCCCCCCCTTATTCTTCTTTAGATACATTTGTCCTTGTTGTCCCGTTGTTTCTTGTTTACATTTTTCTTCCTTCATACTATACCTCATACTAAAAATAATACATATTATTATTCCTATACATTATTATACACACATTTTCCACTTTTGACTTTTCCACATTTATTCTCCTTTATTATTTCTAGTCTCCAACCAATCATACCACTTATTCCATATTAGATAGTACTCTGTATCTTCCTTTTCTTTTATCTATTTTGTTAATTTTCTTTTGTTAAAAAAAAGGAGGAGTATACACTGTGTGTGTATGTGTGTTATGTTTTGTTGTTTTAAAAAATAAAAAATTTATATATATAAAAAAAGAGAGAAACTTGCTAAGAGAGAATTTTTTCTTTTTCTTTTTATGACCGTGTAATCCCTTGCTTTGGAGTGGAGTCGGGATGACTGAATGGAGCTGAGCGTTTACTGGCTGGATCCCCTTCCTGTTGCCTATGTGGAGTTCTCAGCAAATATTTTTCTCTTTGTTCCCTGATAGCGAAATATCCATTACTGCCTAGGACTGAACTTTCAACCTTCCAAGTGGGAGGCGAGTGTCTTCACCTCTAGGCCACCGTACCATTCACTAAGAGTGGATATCTTATTTGGTTCAAAATCATGAATAGCATTGCAGTTGCTATTAGATCCACTGTACTAAAGATGCCGGCATGATCCTTTTAAACTGGTTGCCTGCTGGGAGTAATCCCAAGGGAGAAAAAGATGGTTGAGAGCTGAGTCTGTACTGTGTGTGGAGAGAAAGGCTAAGCATACCCTCTGCACTTGATTTAGACCAAAATCAAACTGTCATGCATAGGTGTTGGTGGGGAAGCAAATGAAATCTCCAGGTCATGACATCAGCATGCAATTATTTTAACTACATCACTTGCATCATGAAGATGCCACGACACATTGAGCTCACTTGGATGTCATTGTGGATTCTAACTGGCGTCGAGGCTGCTAACCCCACTACTGCAAGTTGGGCATCCATTTTTTTAGATGTCTCTGGAGATTCTCAGTCATCCAGGTCACAAAGATGCTTTTCCAGGAGGCAACTGGACTTGTTTTTCTTTGAAGACGCTTTGCTTCCCACCCATGAAGCTTCTTCAGCTCTGACTGGGTGGAAGGATTTATACTCCGTGCAGACAGCACAGACTCATCCCCAACAGCCTGCGCCTGTCTTCAACAGGCGCACAACAGTCTGCAAGGAATATAAACCCTTCCTTTCCCCACCATCCAGTCAGAGCTGAAGAAGCTTCCTGGATGAGAAGCGAAATGTCTTCAAAGAAGACAGTTAACGAAGAGAAGGACGAGAGGGGACATGATAGCAGTGTTCCAATATCTCAGGGGCTGCCAGAAACAAGAGGGAGTCAAGCTACTCTCCCAAACACCTGAAGGCAGGACAAGAAGCAACAGATCGAAACTAATCAAGGAGAGAAGCAACCTAGAACTAAGGAGAAACTTCCTGACAGTTAGAACAATTAACCAGTGGAACAACCTGCCTCCAGAAGCGGTGAAGGCTCCAGCACTGGAAGTTTTTAAGAAGAGATTGGACAGCGATTTGTCTGAAATGGTATAGTATTAAGCCAGTTAGAGTTTGGTTATTGAGGCAGAATAAATTGCAAAGAAAATTGGAAGTATATTCATGAAGACAGCCATGGGGAAGAATCTGTGTGTAGGAGTAAATATGAAGTTGGAATAGTCTTTGCTGACTGATGTCTTATATTTACCAGTTGCGCAGATCCCAGAATTCGTATTCCAAAACTCTTAAAGCAAACTGTTAATTCTGAAAGTGAAAGCACAATCTAGATGTGTTGTGTTAAGTTGGAGAACAGTAGAATGAAATATGAGTTATGCCTGAACAGGGGGTTGGACTAGATGACCTCCAAGGTCCCTTCCAACTTCTTTTTATCATTATTATTATTATTATTATTATTATTATTATTATTATTATTATTAACAAGAAAGTCCAGTTGCCTCCTGAAAAAGCATCTTTGGGACATCCATTCTTTTGGCTTTCTCTCCAGCCAACAGTGTTTGACAGCTTGGCACCCAGGCAGGGCCACACTCACAGGTATCTTCAGGGCATCAACGAAGCTGATGGCTTCTCGGTCTTCCCCAGAATCTTTGGCGTGTTCCGCAATGTCAATGATGTTCTCTCGGCTGTTGGTAGAAACATTTAGGCTCCCATCACTGATGGAGTGTCCTGCCTCCAGACCTTTCTCATCTGAACTGGTTTCCTGCATATAAAAATAAAATAAAATACATAGTTAGTCCTCGACTTACAACAGTTTGTTTAATGAGCATTTTGAAATAACAACGGGGACTTATGACTGTTTTTCACACTTACGACACTTTACAACTGTGTTACTAACTTAACAGCTGCGGTGATTCACTTCATAACTCAAGCCCTGTAATCCCATTTACATCCAGACAGGCCCCGTCACTAAATGACCTCAAGGGGTGACTTCCTTTCCAGATGCAAACTCTCATCAGTGAGAAAGGCACCACCACCATGAATTTTCCTTAAACGGTTTTCCTTCAATTCTCCAAAATCACAGAAATTGAATTGCTGACTCCTAATGTAAAGGTTCCGAATAAGCACCATTCAGCCAAGGTGCTCATGGTTTCATTTCAGAATGTTTTGGCTGATATGTCCTCCAAGGCCTGCACAAAAAGGCTAAAATGTAAATCAAAACAATCAAAATTGGGCCAGCTTAATATTCCAAAAGAAAAAAAGAAAAAAACAACACCCATTATTTTCCTTATCTAATAAAACGTCTAGCTTTGCAAAATTTAAAAAAAACCAAAACAAGCACAAAGAGTATAATTTCAGAAGTTAAGTTTCATTACAGTTAAAGGAATGTATTCCCAGATAAAAACTTACATGGTGAAGAGGAGGGCTGCAGTCAACATCTTCTGGATCTGAAAGACATGGAGACAAAAGGCGAATTTCATTTGAAGGTGGGGAAAGCGTTATTAATAAAGATTTCTCCAACGGTCTCTAAATTAGGGGGCCAATAGGTGTAGAGATACATATGGTAGATAAAGGAATGATAAATAATAAACAACAACAGGGCTAGGGTTACGTCCCCATGAATTTGGAGAGCAAAATGGAGCTTGCCAATGGATTTGGAGCAAATGCGTATGCTTAGGAGGGCGCTGACTTATCTGTGTTTCCTGGTAAAATACATGGGAAAAATCCTACTGGGGGAAAAATCCACTTAATGTTAGGATTACGTCCCCATGAATTCGGAGAGCAAAATGAACCTTGCCAATGGATTTGAAGCAAATGGGTACGCTCAGGAAGGTGCTGACTTTTCCAGCCTGCCTTATTTACCGTACTTTCTGGTGTCTAAGACGACTTTCTAAAGCGTTGAAATTGGCGCCGAAGTCAGGGGTCGTCTTATACGCCAAGTCATCTTATACACCGGAAATTACGGAAGTCGGGGGTCGTCTTATACGCCAGAAAATACGGAACTTTTCCTGGATATCTGTATCATAGTAATTACCCTTGCATTTGCTGGGGAAGAATGCAGTGATGTTGTTACCTGCCACTAGGTGGTGACAACCACTTAAATAAATGTGGTCTATGAAACAAGGAACATCAGAGGCCCTGATTCACTGAGCTGAGCTCATTAGCACATCATTAAGATATTTCTTCATGTTGATGTTATGACGGTTATGGCTTGCACGATCCAAAATGTGAGAATTGCTTTACTTTAAATCTGTAGCATTTTTGTTCAATTTTGTTTTGCAGTTCGAGAAACTGTTATGGCCTGACACAAAATGTTATGTATACATATTTAGATTAAGTATTATTTACCCATCATTTCTCTAGCAAAAAACCCTAAAGTTTTGACTAGATGACATTCATCTGAACTGGATTTTTTTTTTCCTCTCCTGGGTCAAATTAAGATATTTAGCACTGCAGATATTTCAGCTTAAAAAAAAGTCATTTTCAGGGTCAATCTCTGCTGAAGGGAAAAATTAAGGGTTTTAACCCCATTCCACATATTTTTCACTTTGGGAGTGGGGAGGAAGTTGTTTACAATACACCATCTTGGGAATCCTGACTGCTAGAATTAAAGTTATCTTTTATTCAAAAGATAGCAGGCTGAAGGCAAGAAATACTAACATCACTCTGAATAGGCTTTGTAACAATATTACAAAGCACCATTATGATAAAGCTTAAATGAGCAAGTGCAACATTCCCACTGGGCACAGATATTTAAAATACACAACACCAAATCTTTGACCCAGCAACAATTCCCAATAGCAGGTCACTGTTACTGTCCATCACCAAACCAAACCTGATTTCCTAATGCAAAAAGCATACAAGACTTACATTCAATGAGGAACAGGAAGCAAATAACACCCATCAAGGCTATAATGATTCCAGGTACAATGAAGGACAGTCCCCACGCTGTTGAAACCCAGATGCCAGCAATCAAGGACCCCAATATATTTCCGACAGACGTGTGTGAATTCCAGATGCCCATGATTAAGCCTCGCCTGACAAGAAACAAAAGACTGTGTTGTAAATGTCTGTCTTTTTTGGCTCAGTTCTCAGAGGCACATTGGGAATCCACACATTATGGTTCAACATTTTGTGGGAATCAATTTCATGAGATCTCTGTGGCAGAGTTTGACCAATGCTTCAACTTACAGATAAACTTTCCAGAATTGTTAGCTGACAGCTCCCACAATCTCTTACCACTGACTATGCTGGTTGGGGCTGATGAGAACTGATGCCGTTAAACATCTGGATGGCACCGATCTGTTCATTTTCCCCCTAACTGCTACGTCACAAGTACACATTCTGCTCTGGGGATTATGTCATTTCTGAAGGACTTTGGCAAACATATTCATTTTGCATTAAATTACCTTAAAAGAAAAGCAAAAGTGAATTAAATTAAGTATCATTTAATTGGTGTTCTGGGCCCAGCTCCATTTTTATTCTGTATCCTATATCCTTTGTATAACATCGAAAGGCCAAGTGCATCTTCTGGGGGCTGAAAAACTGGGGCAGCCCTGCACCTTTTTTTGAAAGCCACACGGTACAGTGAATAACATGTGAGCTCAGCTTGGAGTAGAACAATCCGGGTTCAAATCACTGCTCAGCAATGATGCTTCCAATGAACCGTGGAGATTAGTCACCTGAACCAGTTCACAGTCACTGCAGAGATCAAATTGGGCAGCTCTCCTTTAGGGCAAGAGTCACAGGGCCAGCGTGCAGCACATAAGAAAATACCAGGCAATTAATCAAACCACGATCCCATTTAAATGCGCAGGGTTGCATTTCCTGTCAGTGTGGGAAGAAATCAAAGACTTCCTCTAGGGATGAAGATGAAGCAACCGAGATTGGAAAGCAAACAACAATCTGCAAGACGTGAAGAAACCAGACTCACTTCCCCTTTCCAAACCAGTTGCCGACACACGTCACCACCGAAGGCCATCCAGTTGTCTGAGCCAAGCCGTTCAGGATCTAACAGAGAGCACAAGAGAGAAAATCAGCTAACTGCTGAAGGACACGCTGTTCACATGTATGCATTCACTCTCTCTCTCTCTCACGCACACACAAACACACACACAGACGTTAACAATACATGTAGTCCTCAATGTATGACCACGTTTGATCCCAACGTTTCTGTTGCTAAGCGAGGCAGTTGTTAAATAAATTTGGCCTCATTTTACAACCTCTCTTGCCACAGTGATTAAGTGAAACTCTGCCATTATTAAGTTAGTAACAAGGTTATTAAGTGATTCTGGCTTCCCCACTGACTTTGCTCATCAGACGTTTACAAAAGGGGATCATGTGACCCGGGATGCTGCAACCGTCATAAATATGAGTCAGTTGCCAAGCATCTGAATTTTGATCATGTGCTCACTGGGATGCTGCAGCGTTCATGTGAAAAATGGTCGTAAGTCACTTTTTCCCCGTGCTGTTGTAACTTTGAACGGTCACTAAATGAACTGTTGCAAGTCAAGGACTACCGGTAGAGCTGATTCTAGAGAGCGATTTTTTTTTTAATCTTTTGCAAGGAAAAATATCCTAAATGTCTTGGGACATCCTAAAGATTAACACACGATGACTACATAAACTTTCAAGAAGCAAGGAAGAAGTTATGCAGTGTGCACCAGAAATGCTGTTGGAGGAGACAAAAAAAGAACATGGGGAAAAGCAAAGATGAGGCCAATCCCCCTCCCACATACACACACATAAAAATGATCCTAAATGGGAGACGGACATTCCTGCACTAAGTAGCTGGTTAAGTAACCAGATGGAAAATGTGTGATTGGAAAAATGTAGTCATGTGAAATCACTAAGAGAGTTTTTGGCAATGGAATGGAAAAATGTGGCACTTTATTTCTTAACAGGCCACAAAAATAGCAGGGGGCAAGTCACTCCGTCACAGCTCACTCAAGCTCATGGAATGATGTTCTGAGGGGGAAAAAGGGAAGGAAGTATGTCTAGTTTAACGAAGAGAAGGACGAGGGGGGACATGATAGCAGCATTCCAATATCTCAGGGGCTGCTCCAGAGAAGAGGGAGTCAATCTATTCTCCAAAGCACCTGAAGGCAGGCCAAAAAGCAACCGATGGAAACTCATCAAGGAGAGAAGCAACCTAGAACTAAGGAGAAACTTCCTGACAGTTAGAACAATTAACCAGGGGAACAACCTGCCTCAGAAGCGGTGAATGCTCCAACACTGGAAGTTTTTAAGAAGACACTAGACAGCCATTTGTCTGAGATGCTTTAGGGTTTCCTGCCTGAGTTGGACTAGATGACCTCTAAGGCCCTTCCATCATCATCATCATCATCATTATTATTATTAGTGCTGTAGGTGGCACTTTGATCTGAAGAAAAGGCAGGCAATGTAGAAAACAGATAGGAGATGGGCAGATCTCTAAAGCACCAGTTAGATCTTGTCCTCTTGCTGTTTTGCCCCAGATGTTAGATCAGGATGTTATTTAGCTGGTTTGGTTATTAGCCAATTCTTCCCCACCCCCATCCCAAGAACTTAATCTGTGCTGGAAAGGGAGCTTGCACAAGCCACTGCACTGGCCAGCACTGGGTTGCCCAGGGGTTTCTAGGGGGTTATCAGCCTGATGAAGCAATCGTGGCAGATCTGGGTATAATTCTGAGCGCCTACATAGTCCCTGCTTTGTGGTGGCTGCAGCAATTTTTTTCTCCTCCAACAGCTGCGGTTGAATGACTCACAGGGGCTCTTCTCCAGCAAGTGACAAACGTCATTCCCTTCTTTCTCAACAAGCATTTTTCTTATGCTGCCCCCCCCTCCAAACTTTCAGCCGATGCCTTTGTCAAATCCCCAGTTCCTCCCAGCTTCTTGTTTCCATGCCAGAGGCTATTTATAAACGGACATGGGCTCATGCGTGAGGCTGCCCTTTTTAAGTGTACAGTATGGATGGCCTAGGCCAGGGGTAGGCAACCTTGGCTTTTATGACTCGTGGACTTCAATTCCCAGAATTCCTGAGCCAGCCATGCTGAGGGGAAGGGGAGAGGTTTCCATGCTGAGCCATGCTGGCTCAGGAATTCTGGGAGTTGAAGTCCACGAGTCATAAAAGAGCCAAGGTTGCCTACCCCTGGCCTAGGCCTTGGATCATGCAGAAAACCATCCTTTCAGAGCTCAGTGAAAAAAGAACTGGCCAGCCCTGGGTTGCCCAGAGATTTCTAGGAGGTTATCAGCCTGATGAAGCAATTGTGGCAGATCTAGGTATAACTCTGAGCGTCCACATAGTCCCTGCTTTGGGGTGGCTGCAGCATTTTTTCTCCTCTTCCTTCTCCAACAGCTGTGGTTGAGTGACTCAGTACCTCGGAGGTAGAAGAACATCCTCACCTAACAGGTCTAGGAAGCATGACTTCTCTGTTGCGGTGCCTGTCTTCTGGAACAACACTCCTCCTCCCCCCCAGAGGTTTACTGGATCTTATTCCAAGAAGTTCTTAAAACCTCTAATGGTATGTTAGAATAACCAGGGGGAGGAGGGGAGAGATTCTGCCTAGGGAAGGATCAGATAAAACTGGGGGGAAACCCACAGCTACATAACGGCAGAGGGCAGAGAAATAAACTCAGGAAAGATCCTTCCTCATTTATCAGGCTGCAAAAAGGGACGGCAGAAGATCTGTACTTTCAGACTAGCAAGACCCTGTTTCACGTGGTTGTGTTTCCTGTCTGCTCTACCTGGAAAGGCTGACAAAACTTCGAATCTTCTGGTGTTAGTAGAATTGGATTCAGAAGCAGAATGAGTTAAAAAATGTATGATTAAATGGGCACAAAATTTTGATGAACCGGTTCCATTAGACACTTGGGAGATTATCTGGGTGAGGAATGTTAAATTTACACAAGCCCAAAATTTAAGGGAAAATTTTTATAAAATGTTTTATAGATGGCACCTTGATCCACAAAAAATGTCTCGTATGTATCCTGACTTGCAGCCTAAATGTTGGAGATGTGAATGTTTGGATGCTACTTATTATCATATCTGGCGGTCATGTAAAAATATAAAAGCTTTTTGGATTAAGATATGGTGGAATATTCAAAGAATTTTTAGAAGAAAGGTAAAATTTACCCCACAATTGTTGTTAGGTATTGTTTCTGATTGTGATAGTAAAGAGATTATATTGATGTTAAATTTAATCACAGCGGCCAGGTTGTTAGTAGGGCAATGTTGGAAGAAGGAATCTTTGCCTACTTTGCAAGAGTGGTTTCTTAAAGTTTCTTATTTGGCGGAAATGGCAAAGATTTCGGCTTTCCTGAAAGATCAATTGCAAGAGAAGCACCTCCTGGTATGGAAAAAATGGATAGATTTTATACAATATAAGTTGGATATAAAAAAATATTATTTCGTTTTTGAATAATTTATATTTAAAATTTAAGATATTTTATAGACATTTTTTTAATTTTTTTTATTTTTCTTTTTTTATTTGATTTTTTCTTTTTCTTTTTCTGTTTCTTTTTTCTTTCTTCTTGTATTTTTTTTTATATATTGTTGTTAACTATTTTATAATTTGTTTAATTAATGTATTTAGATTTGTTTATGGTTTATATGTGTCTTAAGATTTTTTTTAAAATTTTTTTTAATTAAGCCTGTATTCAGCTCTGGGAAGGTTGGGGGAGGGTAGGGGAGGGTTGGGAGGGTTTGGGGGAAGGGAATTTTTTTTTTGTAAAACTTAAAAATTTTCAATAAAAAAAAAAACAATTCCATCTTCTGCCAAGCGTTGAGTTAAGAGTGGGTGGCGGGCAACCTGTAGGTTATACGGGGCTATTTTAGAGTTTGAGGGGGTGTCTGGAGGCTGTTTTTTTTCTTTGGTTTATATTTTTAAATAATTAAAAAAAAAGACTGGGTATTAAGGTAGCATGCTTCCCAGAGTCACAGTGGAATTGGATGGCCTTATACACATAATACGTGACATCAAATAGACAGTTTTTAAGGAGGAGGCAGCAGACTTTGGTCTGTCTTCCTAAATAGTTTCAGTTGCAGGGTTTGTGTTGACAGGTGGCAAAATCTGGCCCACATCCACAGAGTGAAACAACGAGGTGAAATGATGAATTGATTCATGGGAATTATGCAATGACAATAGTCTCAGCTGTAATTCTATGTAAAACTGGTTATGGGACACCCAGAAGTATTTTAATTATGGGCTGCATACAAACCACATGTTTGGCTACAGTTACTATCATAAATTAGACTAGGTAAAGTAGATTATTTCATTCAAGGGATGTGTGTGTGTGTGTATGTGTGTGTGTGTGTATGTCATCACCATCTTCTACTGCTCAGTCATTATTTCTTCTGTTCTTTTTCCCTCTCTAAATAGAGAACTTTTTTTTTCCACCTTGAAAAAAAAAATCCATAAAGGACGAAACAGAGAAAGAGTTCCAAATTTCCTTTGATCACAACCTATCATTCAGTTCCAGGTTTGGTTTTGTTTAAAAAAAAAAAAAAACAAAGCAGGCAGATAATCTTAAGAGAAAAGCCACAGGGTCACTGCTCTCACAAACAGGAGGGAACATAGAGGGCATACTCCTGAATCATGACTTTTTAATTATAAATAAACATGGGACTAGAATGGCTAGACACCATCTGGAAACACCTCATCTGGGGTGAGCATGTGTCTCATGTATACAAGTGGGTCTTGGATGGAAAAACAGATTCCATCCCTTCCCTAATTCTTTCCAGGGGCTAAATATATCTGCCGTCTGTTTGCCCAGCCTTCAATACACCCACAGACCAGAACGCTTCTGTGTTCCAGTTTCCTGTGACAAAGCAGGGATAGGGGGAACCCATGACATGGAACCAAGAAGGGGAGAGAGGAAGTGCTACAACCCCATGCCTAAGAAAAGACTGGACAGCCATTTGTCTGAAACGGTATAGGGCAGTGGTTCTCAACCTCTGGGTCGGGACCCCACTTGGGGTCGAACGACCATTTCACGGGGGTCGCCAAACAACGCAGTCCGCCATTTTTTCTCCCCTTTTCCTTAGATGTGCTACTCCCTTTTATTCTATTGGCTTTTGAAAGCCAATAGAATAGACTCTCTTGAATAGAGCCTAATTCTATTGGCTTTCAAAAGCCAATAGGAATTGTCCAGGCTGTCTCTGCCCTGCTGAGCCCGCCAAAAGTCCCATTCTGCAAAAGGTGCTGCTCCAGTTGAGTAGTCCTCGACTTATGACCGGTTGAGTAGTCCTCAACGTACGACCGGTTGGGGGTCACGGCATTAAAAAGGTTGAGAACCACTGGTATAGGGTTTCCTGCCTGAGCAGGGGGTTGGACTAGAAGACCTCCAAGGTCCCTTCCAACTTTATTATTATTATTATTATTATTATTATTATTATTAGTGGTAGTAGTAGTAGTAGTAGTAGTAGTAGTGGTAGTAGTAGTAGTAGTATTGGCTCTGGCACTGTCTTGGATTGTCAGACGATACAAAAGAACCTCAAAAGAATGATAGCCACCGATGGGCATCAATCTCTGATAAAAGACATGGTAAAAGAAAAAGAAGATCCTGTCTTCTTGAATGCTAGACTTGTTTTGGTTCCTGATGGGAAATTGAAACAGAGACTCTTTGTCGCTTGTTCTTTTTTTTCTTTCTTAATGGTAGAAGAAGGAAAAGGCATGAATGGGAAACCTCAAAATGCCTCAAAATGTTACTGCACAATTTGAGGAGGGTTGACCAGAGCCTGCCCACCCCATATAAAATATGGAGAGAACTTGGTTAGTAAATGGGATCAAAGTCTTTACCTGTACCAATATGAAGTACCATAACTGGTGGATATTCCAGTAGTAGCCCAGTCCAAATAAGGCAGTAAATAAGCCACTGAGCAACATGCCTCCGGAGAGGTAGTAGCGCAGAGGAAGTCGCTCGCCGAAAATCCCACTGTGGGAGAACAGAATAGACAAGTTGTTAAGTCACAGTTTGTTACCTCCTATCAGTGTAGAATGATAGAATCCCGGAGCTGGAGGAGGTTTGAAAGTCATCAAACCTTAGCTACACAGAGTTGGGTTGATGCTCACTGCAATGCCAGGATTATTTTAATTAGGTTTATTGAAGAGCCATAGAGACTTGGTTCTGACATTACTGTAAGCAACATTTACTAGCCAAAAAAGTTGGGTTTACCTATTACACTAAGACACTGCATGATTCATCTCATCTTGGCTGGGTTATGATGTATGGACTGAGGTACCTTGACTGCAAGACAGGGATTCAGATTTTGAACTATGGGGGAATACACAGTTTTCACAAAACTATGGTGGAATGTGAATCCAGTCATCATTAGCCCTTGGCCTTATTTTTCTGAAGTAGGCTCTCCACTCCTTCTACAGTTTGTCCCAGGCATTTGAGAGTTGTTTAAACCTCTTAACGACATGCCCTAACTTCACCGGTGCTTTCTTTTTGTGTCAGAGCTAAAAGCCAAACTGTTTTGGCTTTTGGATTAAGGAATTGGCCTTGTACAAGTTAAACTGGAGAGAAGGAAGGAAGGAAGGAAGGAAGGAAGGAAGGAAGGAAGGAAGGAAGGAAGGAAGGAAGGAAGGAAGGAAAAAAGGAAGGAAAGAAGGAAGGGAGCGAGGGAGGGAAGGGACGGAGGGAAGGAAGGAAGGAAGAAAGGAAGGAAAAAAGGAAGGAAAGAAGGAAGGGAGCGAGGGAGGGAAGGGAGGAAGGAAGGAAGGAAGGAAGGAAGGAAGGAAGGAAGGAAGGAAGGAAGGAAGGAAGGAAGGAAACCTCGAAGACAAAATGAAGATTAAAAATCACAACACAATTTGAACTGCAGTTGATGAGAATGGAACTGGGTTTATTGTACACAATGCAGACCTTCCGTCTCTAAGCTGAACAACTTTCTCTTTAATCAGCCTGCACACAATTGTGACCTATCAACAGCCTTCCAAATACCCTATGAAGCTCTTTAATAACCACTTAGGTGACGACGGGTCTGTTTAGTTCTCAGTAAACAGAATCTATCATCTTGACAAAGAGTCCTGTTGACATTTCAGGCTTTCCATTAGCGGATTTCTTATCTGCCTGCCATTGTAACTCCAGTTAAGGGAATTCTCTATCTCTGAACTACTTTCCTGCAGGGTGGAGAAGTGGGTTGATTGCTCCTGAACATGGCCAACAATTGTCATGTTTTGCCAGGGTAATCAAACATTATAGATATGTCCTAAGAGCGCCTCTTAAGATCACAGTATGTTTTGAAACCATCAACTTGAGCTGCCAAGTCAAGGTGCCAAGTTGCTGACGCTCTCCATGACAAATTGTTGAAGCAATTGATTATGGAAAGGCCCTATCAGTAAAAGTCAACCAAAACCAAACCTTGATGACAAATGACGACAAAAGAAACAGTGAAACTGCCTTGCTAAAGCAAAGTCCAATACAGATGTCTTTGCAAAGGAAAACACTACCCTGAAGTGCAGAGAGCCTCCAGGCCAATGTTTTTCAACCTTGGCAAATTTAGGACGGGTGGACTTCAACTCCCAGAATTCCTCAGCCAACAGAGAGGATTCTGGTTTTCCACCCTGATTCTATTTGCAGAAAGAAACCAGGTGTCAAATAAAGTCTGCAGTGGGAAATAAATCTGAGACCTATAATGAATGGTGCTGGCGGAAACTTTCTTTTTCTTATTCTTATTTCACTCCTTGCTGGCCTTATTGCAGAGCGTTGTTTCCCCTGAAATACATACCTGATATACATCCCAATTGCATAAGCCACCAAGAAAGCATTGTCCAGGGCTCCAAATAGCTCCTTGTAGTTATCCTGATCTGGAAACAGAGTACAGAGTGCACTGAAGGTCTTTTATCAAACAGCAATTTATAATTTTCAGAACTCGACCAGGTAGTATTTGGGGGTGGGGAAGGGAGAAAACTCCGGGAACAATGCTTGCCTTCCAAAGAACTGGGGAAAAGATGGGATAGAATTCCCACAATGAAATGCATCCATAAAAAGCCCATGTGGTCCTGAGCTTTATCTTCTTAAGCAGGGGTCTTCAAACTTGGCCCTTTTATGACTTGTGGACTTCAACTCCCAGAATTCCTCAGCCAGGCATGCTGGCTGAGGAATTCTGGGAGTTAGAATCCATAAGTCATAAAAGAGCCAAGCTTGAAGACCCCTGTTCTAAAGTCTGATTCCCAACTGCAAGCAAAATAGATTTGACTTGCGCCTGATTTTCCCCCACTCTGAATTCAGCAATAAACACCTACCTGACAAAAGATATTAGGTCAATTACCAACCTTTCTCATTAAAAAAGGATTAGAAGATGAGAAGCCCTTTTTTTTTAACATTCCTGGGGCTGTAGTTTAGTTTTACAGGATTTGTTTCCTGATTCCAGTTGATTATAGTATTACTTGATTGGATGAAAAATAGTAATCAATCCTCACTTCAAATCTGGCACAATATTAAAGTGGGGTGCACACTGGTGAGAATGGCTCTAAAACCCTGGATAAATAGCACCCAGAAAAAAAGCTTCAGATCAGAATAACTATTTGAAATTGTATATCCCTTGAGCTACCAACCTCTCTGGTTTTGGCCTAATTCATTCTGGGAAGCTGTTCGAATTGCTGGTAACATGAAAGGAGTTAGAATTGGAATGAATGAATGAATGAATGAATGAATGAATGCATACAAACATACATACATACATACATACATACATACATACATACATACATGCTAATCTCCAGCTCTCCAAAATCAAGGACAGTTTAGGTGGCTCTCAACAATATTTTAAGTCAAGATTCAGATCAGTCATTGCATCAGAAGGATGGACTCTACTGGGACCAACGCTAAGGCTGATCTGCTGCCGTCTAAATGAGCAGTCTGACTTCTAAAAAAGATTTCTGCTATGGTCCAAAAGTTGCTAGACAATGCCTTGGAAAGCAAAACGTCTCTCCCATTTTTCAGACAGGTGGAAGAAGAGCTTTGAAAAGTATATTGAAAAGACGACAAGTGACCATATCACCCCATAAGGGGCTTCTGTTCCTTCTCACCATAGCTGGAAATGCCAGAACTGGATAGAATGCAAAGAAGATGCTCTTCTCTGAGCTACAAGTACTTTAGTCTTTACATATCCAGCCTACTCTGTCCTACAGCATTTTGATGACCCAAGATGATGGTGGGTTTGATGGGAAACAGATATTAAGAATATCTTACCGAAGGGCTTCCAGTCACACCAAGTGGTGCTGTTGGACACATTGTTTGGCCTGGATCCCAGTGAAGAACAGTTATAATGCAGTTCGCTCTGATCAAACAAAGGACAGAGAGCAGATCACCATCACTGACAGTGACTTTGAGGGGTGTAAAAGGACAAATCTGTTAACAAGGAATTTATAATCTGGGAAAGGAGAAGAGAAACAAGGGAGGCAACATGCATTGTAAACTGCTGACTATTTCCTGGGAAGCAATACTTTCTCTATGCCAGTGTTTCTCAACCTTAGCAATTTTAAGATGTGTGGACTTCAACTCCCAGAATTCCTTAGCCAGCGTGCTCTTATTCAATGGAGATTGTTGACAAATAGAGTAAAAGTCTTGACCTGAATAACCAATGAGTCTCTCGCCCTTATATGCCTAAAATATACTCTTCCACCTTGGGTTTTACTTATACCTACCTTTACAATGCTAATGGGCTTCCGTGAGAGATGAAAAGTAGTGTAGCACAGGAATGTTAGCACCAGAATCAATCCCCGGTACCTACGAAAAATATACAAGAGGATGAAAGACACATTACAGAAGGATGTAAATCAGTGACTACTTCATAGTAAGGCTGCCTCAATTAACAGAGTGCAGAAGTGTATAACTTGTGAGTCTTGTAGGACTTGGGCTGCCAAGTCTTAAGTCTTAATGGAACAAAAGTGATAATAGGTTGTTTCCATCTTACCCAGTTCTTTGTCCTGACTCCACCCACTTTTTTAGAGCCTGGATTTACATTCAAAATTGCAGCCCCTGATCCCTTGAATGTTGTATACCGAGAAAGGACCTGGCCAAGATTCTCCAGAGTATCTAAGGCAGTGGTTCTCAACCTTTTTAATGCCGTGACCCCCAACCGGTTGTAAGTTGAGGACTACTCAATCGGTCGTAAGTCGAGGACTACTCAACTGGTGCAGCACCGTTCGCAGACTGGGACTTTTGGCGGGCTCAGCAGAGCAGAGACAGCCTGGACAATTCCTATTGGCTTTTGAAAGCCAATAGACTTAGACTCTATTCAAGAGAGTCTATTCTGTTGGCTTTCAAAAGCCAATAGAATAAAAGGGAGGAGCACAGCTAAGGAAAAGGGGGAAAAAATGGAGGACTGCGTTGTTTGGCGACCCCCGTGAAATGGTCGTTCGACCCCAAATGGGGTCCGGACCCACAGGTTGAGAACCACTGATCTAAGGCAAGTAGTCCTTAACAGAGGCATCTGCAAGATTAAGGTTTAACTAGCTTCCTTAAGTCCTCCAATAGTAGGACAGCTTGGATCCAGATTCAATATGGCTACTTAGGGAACAGTGATGGTCTTCAAAGCGTCTCAGGCGTGGTAAATGCAAGTGAAATTCTAGAGCTAAGCTACTAAAAAGCAGAGGACAAGTGATTTTTTTTGTTCCTATTGGGAACTGGAAGCAGTTCATGATCTAATGGCTATGCCTCTTTGCTGCCTTGAATTAGGCCCTGAATTGTCCATCAGTTGTGCATTACAAGCAATGGTTAGAGTGCAGGAACACGCCATTTTCAAGACATCTATACTATCAAATATTCCTGGGGAACCTTTCTGAAATTTACCAACCGTTTAATCACTCATCATTCTGACACAGGGGAACCAAAGGTCTGACTTGGCTGAAGACAGCGCTCTATGAACTAATTAAATAATCCAGGTGCCCCCTCCAAGGTTATTAGTAGGCTCGTATTGGAAGAAGGACTCGTTGCCTACTTTAGAAGAATGGATATTTAAAGTTTCCAGCTTTGCAGAAATGGCAAAAAATTCTGCTTATTTGAAGGATCATACACAAGAAAGATATATTATTGTATGGAGAAGATGGATAGCTTATATTCAGAAAAAATATGGGACTATAAAGTTTCATTTATTTTATGAGTAAATTTTATAGTAACTGTTGTAGAGATGTGTTTATATGACTTAATTTAAGGGGAGTTAAAGGTTAAGTATGATTTTTTCTCTCTCTTTTTTTCCCTTTTTTCTTTTTTATTATTGTTAACTTTCTTAATAATAACCCTGTATTCTGCTCTGGGAAGCGAGGGGGGGGGAGGGTTGAGGGTGGGTGGGTGGGTGGGTGAGTGCGTGGGTAATGATAATGTAGACATGGTAAACGCTTGGGCATTTCCCCTATGCTGCGTTCATGTGTGTGAGAGGGATGAGAGGGGAGGAAGGAGTAGGGAGGAAGTAGGATGGTTAGAGGAGAGGGGAAGAGAGTAGGAGGGGAGGAGAGAAAGAGGAGGGAAGTGGGGAAGGATTAGAGAGGGTGGACACAGCCTGGGGGGGAATGGGCAGGCGGTACCAATGGTTAGGAATTTAATTGTATTCTGTATGAATAAATGGAAAATAAAAACTTTTTAATAAAAAAAAAATAATTAAATCCACTGCTGACAACAAAAACGAGGTCACAAATCTCTGGCACATGCTGTCAATCTGGTCTGCCAGACTGGCACATCCAGACTATGGGTCCTTGATTCTGCCCCCCTCGCACCCAAAAAAACACAGCCCATAAATCAATTCTTTAGAATTCAACATCCCAGGTCACCGTTTCCTTATGCCATGCCCTGAAATGGCTTTTCTTACAGCCATCTTTTACACACAATAACTTACTTCAGGTTTATTTAAACCCCAGCTGGTTGAAAACCAACAAGCAACATCCCAGATTTTGAACTTCCTCAAATAAAGCCACCACTACAAATATTCTTTTCCCTACTCGGCATCCTTGTTAGTTCCCTTACTTGAGGTCTTGCTATCTGGGGAGACTTCCTTGCAATGACAAAGACGTGGTAGCCTTACTATGAGGGGAAAAGGGGATTTTTTAAAAAAAAGTTATTTGGGGGGATGGAGGGAATAATTAAATGCCCCTTCTTAGATGGTCTCCATTTCCAAGATAAGGAATTTGGAATGCCCAACACTAACAGGTAAAACACTCTCAAAAATCTGTTGCTTCTTTAGATGGGATAGACATATGATTTTCCTTAAAAGTCTTTATTTGGCAAGTAAAGAGGAGAGATTTAAACAGTCAGCAAGACAACTCATCTGCCCTTTCCTGTTTTCTAACAGAAAGAACAATGCAGTCTTTCCTTGTGAGGTCTTTGGTGTTCTCTGAGCTTGATAAACCAAGCTCAGAGAGCACAAAAAAACTCCGCAATTCAACGCTGAGTTACATGTACAGTATTTTATTCCATTGGAATCTTTGCCTTCTCCAAAGCAAGCCAGGACAAGCAGATGTTCAGAGTCATATGGGGAGTGACGATGGAAATTAAACCGTGCGTGGAAAAGTTGATTTCAGTCTTCTGTGCGCAAGAAAAAGGCTGTTCCTTGGATACATTTCAGCCTCCTCTTGGGAGATCTTGCTTATCAACTTTTTCAGCAAGATAACCAAGAGACGATCTCTGAAAGATAAGATTCAGAGAGGCTTCCCAATTATATGCAAAAAAATTGCACTGAGTTGTTTTTTATTATTATTTTTTTATCAGATAGTGCTAACAGTATCTTTTCAAGTGGAAAAGCCAAAGGGGAAAGCAAAAATCAACTTCCTATATTTAAATGATCCTCTGCTCGGGATCATATTACTGCTTTGTTTTATTTCGTTTTGAATAATGGGTTTTAAGAATTTTTGAAGTGCCTCTTCAAAAGTGCCTCTTTGTATATAGCCCTTGTGTCTAGGAAGGACTTCCAGATCTATCATGCTGATCCTGATTGCTTATAGCAGGGTTTTTCAAACTTGGCCCTTTTATGACTTGTGGACTTCAACTCCCAGAATTCCTCAGCCAGCTGAGCTTTTCTGGCTGAGGAATTCTGGGAGTTGAAGTCCACAAGTCATAAAAGGGCCAAGTTTGAAGACCCCTGGCTTATAGCATTCAGTTCATTCAAAGTCAACATTGCTGGAGTAGTGGGTGGCTAATGACAGCATTGGATTCGCTATACATTTAAGTCTCTCTTTTTTCTGTGTTGGGGCCATTAGTCCTATTTGGTCTTCTCAGGAAATTACAAGATTGGTTCTCTTTCTCAGCAGACTTGCTTTCACTTCTGCCTTGAGGCCAAATCGAGGTATTCAAATAGATTCCGGAGAAAACACAGCTTTAGAGCCAGAGAAAATCCAACTCAGGAAGAACATGGTTTTTGTGTAGCAGTGGAGTATGAAAACCCTCAGCCACATATACCTGCACATAAAGCCAGTTGCAACCATCTGATCACTGTTATTGTGACTGGAGAGGAAAATTATTAAATGCATAGGGTGCAGTTATACGGAGGGTGATTAATCCCTTCAGGTATATTTATATTGAAAGGCCAATTAAATAAAATCCAGGTTAGTTTTTTATGCTATCCCTGTCCACACTTAAAGGTCACCTACAGGACTCTCATAAAACAAAGATGACATACAGATAGTCCTTGACATTCAACAGTTTGGGCTGAATTGTGGTCATTAAGTCAAGGACTACCTGTAGTATGTACTATAGCTTCACGCCAAGTTGTTATTAAAACCAGTTTACTAAACCACGCTAAAAGGCTAATGCAGACTCTCAAAATATCCAGCAGAAAGCCCTGAAGTAATCCAGTGACTTGTTGGATGGATGATGACTCAACATGAGCCCTCCAGAAGAATTGATCTCTATTTTCATCTTCTCTAGTGACGGCCATATTTCTTACAGATGATGGTCATTACTTGCCTGGAATGTTGGACAAGAGTGGTGTGTTTAGGCCATCTTTTCAATAGTTCCAGGCTCAAAATTATTCTTGGTTGGTTTGGTTTCCCCTTTGTTATGTGCTCATACAGTATAAGCCTTGTAGGAATCTAGGTCACTATAACTGGGCCATCCTGCTGCCTCTGGCAGTGATTGTGGGAAGCACAAACATTAAAGCTCCATTCATAATTTCATAGCACGGCCAAAGCTCTAGAACTTCAAAGCTTCAGCATCTTCTCTGTGCCAAATATTTTCCTGCAGTCTTATTATGGACAAGGGGATCATTCATGGATCTGAGGTCTATTTACCTCTCTGTTTATCTCCTCTTTTACCTTAGAATATTAAGAAATCTTGCTGGTTGTATTCCATTAGCTTAGTTGTTCTCAACCTGTGGTTGGGACCCCATTTGGGGTCGAACGACCATTTCACGGGGGTCGCCAAACAACGCAGTCTGCCATTTTTTTCCCCTTTTCCTTAGCTGTGCTACTCCCTTTTATTCTATTGGCTTTTGAAAGCCAATAGAATAGACTCTCTTGAATAGAGTCTAATTCTATTGGCTTTCAAAAGCCAATAGGAATTGTCCAGGCTGTCTCTGCCCTGCTGAGCCCGCCAAAAGTCCCATTCTGCAAACGGTGCTGCACCAGTTGAGTAGTCCTCGACTTACGACTGGTTGAGTAGTCCTCGACTTACGACCGGTTGGGGGATTGCGCCATTAAAAAGGGGAGAACCACTGCACTAGCTGGAGAGAAAGGGGATGCAATTGTAACAAAGAGAAACTTTTTTTTAAGGAGGTGCCTTGATTTCAGAGGAAGTTTTTT